CAGCTCGGCTACCAGTGACGGTCATGTTCCAGGAGGTCTCTGAAATGAACCAAGACTGGTACGAAGAAGGCATAGTTTATAAGCTGGATGACTCCACCGACTTTACTACAACTGTGACTTTAACGGACCTGAAACCGGCGACACACTATCGCTACTCGCTGTCTAACAACAAGTCTGGCATATTTACCACGGCGCCATCGCCCGAAACCCCTGAATCAAAACGACTATCTTTCGTAACATCAAGTTGCCTGAAGCCAAACTTCCCTTACAACATACTGTCGCATCCACTGCGGATCCCAGGCCTCGAGCAAATGACCGACGCCCTCTCCAAACTTCCCAACCTACTTCGCCCAGCATTCATGCTCTTCTTAGGCGACTTCATATACATAGATGTCCCCTGGCGCTTCGGCTCAACAATGGCACACTACCGCAGCGAGTATAGACGTATCTACTCCTCCCCTTCCTGGGCTCACGGAGCAGAAGAAAACCGCGCCATCGACCTACCCTGGCTGCACACTCTGGACGACCACGAGATTCAAAACGACTGGTCGCAGGGCAACAAAACCGCCCCGTATCCCGCAGCAGCTGACCCCTTCGTCCACTACCACGTGCGGGCAAACCCACCCGTCCCCCAAGTACCATTTGCGCACCCAGACAACGTGACCTACTTCGCCTTCACCCACGGCCCAGCCTCGTTCTTCATGCTAGACACACGTACCTACCGCACCGAGCCCTCTCACCAAAACTCAACCATCCTCGGCCACCCCCAGCTGCAATCTCTCCTCACGTACATCTCAACCCCAGAGCCAGGCTTACACTGGAAAATCATCTCCTCCAGCGTCCCCTTCACCAAGAACTGGCACGTCGGCACCACAGATACCTGGGGCGGGTTCCTAGATGAGCGCCGCACCGTCTTTGAAGCAATGTGGCGCGCGGAGCGCGATCTAGGCATCCGCATCGTCATGCTTAGCGGTGATAGACACGAATTCGGCGCCACTAGATTCCCGGACCCGGAACTCAACCTAGCTCCCGACCAGCTTGTGCCTAATGCGGCTGGTGTGGGACTGCATGAGTTCAGTGTTGGGCCGTTGAGCATGTTTTACCTCCCGATCCGTACATACCACCAGACAGACTCTGAGGACATTATGGTGAAGTATGCGCCGAATGGGAATAGTAAGTTCGGGCTTATTGAGATTGCCGATGAGGCTGAAGATGTTGGTTCGACTGCTGCTGCGCCTGTTCGGGCTCGTAGTTCGGTTCTTACTTACTCGTTGTATGTGGATGGGGAGGTTGTTTGGAAGTATCGTCTCAGTGTTCCATTGGACCGCGATGTGAGCGTCCACGGCCCGTCTCTACCGCCGGGCCGTGTTGTTCAGGATGAGATTCCGGATATTAGTTGGAGTGTGGTGCTTGGGACTGTTGTGGGACAGTTGCCAGTGTTGACGAAGCAGATTGTTGAGACGGTTAATGATCTCTTCTTTCGACTTACAGATCGACTGCGGAAGATTTAGAGACTTGATTAGTTGGTTTGAACGTCGCTCAAAGGGATCACCTCCTTTGCTCATTTCGATCTGCTCAAGGCAGGTTGGGTGACCGTATTATTAAATATTCCCAAGCAGGTGGCCTCCCAGGTGGGATAAATCAGATAACAGTAGTTGGATTAGTGCGATCTTGAATCGCTTTGAAATTCAGTTTCTATAATCAATCATCAAATGAATTAAATGCCTAGCAAGCCGGAGCAAGATCGGGCTATGGTTTGTATCTCGTTACATAGCTATATGGTGGGGAAGGGAGGATTCTATACACGGTTTGCGCTTCAGGGACTGCTAAACCAAGAAGATGACGCCGATCGACTTTGCCCCTGGATCCATTCACTGGGGTATAAGATCTAGACAAGTGAGAGAAGAAGAGGAGAGTGGAGACCGAGTATCAGTGAAGCACGCGATGGGAGAAATGCTTCCGTTGTTGCCAATCTGGAAGATTCAAGATGTCCAACTGTCTCGACCAGTGAAGGAGGAGGATGGAATAAGAAACGAAAGAAAATCGAGGAGACTTGATTTGAGGAATGTCTCTTCATAAATGATTAAGTGAGTCAGTTGAGTGGCGATTTGATGGCATCCCAAAATGAAGATGACGACGAAGGCCTCCTGGCTCGACGGCATCGATTAGAAGCGTCCACCGCTGGAACGACCATGGCCACCTCTTGTTGTCACCTCGTCTTCGCTACCACCAGCGACTCCGCCCAACAAACTGGCTCCCCAGATGCCGGCGATACCCCACATGCCAATACGCCAGCCGCGGTACAGGCCCTGAATACCCTGGCCTTGCTGTCGCTTCTGCTGTGAGGTACGCTGGCCGAGGAGCTGTTTGGCACGCTCTGTGTCGGAGGGTTTCGAGCTGACACCTTCCTCATAAACAACATGCCACATGGTGCCAATGATACCGCGGTATGTGCGCGGGGTAGGAACGATGGTTTCTACATCAGAAGCATCAATAGATGCTGCACTGATGCTACCGCCTGATGACTTTTGGCGCAGACTCAAGGATGTATATGTGGCAATCTGGGCGCGGCGGAGCACGGTCTCGAGTGGGAATCGCACGGCAAGCTCGAGTCCTGAGCCGAGGAAAGCACAGAGGTTCCATGCGTTTGGGTTGAGGAGGGGATCAATGGACATATATGATTTGAGGAAGAGTGGCGTCGAGGTCATAATGAGGTTGGGGAGACTTGAGTGGAGCACAGTGATTGGGACGAGATGCGAGGGGATCGTGCAGTTGGGTGTGGGGAGCTGGCGGATAGCTCGGACGAGGGACCCCGGCCCATGGGTCGCTGGTGTGAGCATCAGGAATGTACGAGCGGTGTCGATAGGAGCTAGGATCAGGGCGGATAGCGAGGATGAAATGAATGACAAGACCAGCGTTGCCAGAGGGGATGATGCCGTCAGAATGTCCGCTGTCATCGACATGGAGATATCTTCTTCCGGCAAGCCGACAATTGCCGTCAGAAGACTGCGGATGAAAGTGTTCAAGGTCGGCAGGAGAAGTGAGTAAATGAATGTAGTGTTAGAGGACTTCCAGAGGGAGGTTGGGCCGCTGGAGGACCAGAGCTGTGATAGAACTTCAGTCAGGGAGTTCGAGTTCTTAATAGTCAGAGCATGTTTGGGCTGCGCGGCAGACTCTGGTCGAATATAGCCGCTGCGGTCAGTGATATGGTGGCGTGGCTTGCGAGATCGAGGTGTACTCGGCGTCGGCGTTGGAGGGGCGGCTGAGGTGAAGTAGCTGGTTTCATCATCAGATGATTCTGAGTCCTATAGCAACCCCGTCAGTTACTTGTCGTGGAATTCGACACAGCCGTATATCAGCTTTAGAGAGCAGCTTTCTTACCGAATCATATGAGCTTCCTTCAGCACCCGGTGTCGAGTTCCGATCCCACTGCTCCTCTGTGGCGTCTGGAACGACATACACCTGCAAGATGGTTTTGGCGACGTCGAACGGCTGTGCTGTAAGAACCTTTGTGTAGCGAACAAGGGCCCGGTTCAAGGCATCGCGAGCCCAGTCAGAGACAGAGGGCGAGGCTTCCAGATAATCGGCATAGTCCAAGTCCGGGATGAGATCACGAGCTGTGCTGCCAAACACCTGGGCCGATGACGGCGATGCCACCTCGGCGGGTGCATTTGAAGCGGGCGATAAGCCAGACGGGGGGATATAGTAAGGCCGCAAGGGATTGATCCCTTCACGAGTCGCCATAATGTTATGTTAGTCGGAGTTAAAGAGTCGGGGAAAGAAGAACGGGAGGAGTAGAATGTCCGAACGCCCAAGCTTTGTCAGTCTTTTTTTTCCCTCCGCGGCCATTGGACGATCATTGCTCACTCCTCCCATCCTCCCCCGGATCCTCTTTTTTCTCTTTTGACTTTCAGTTTCCCCTTTTAATTTATTTATTCTCTTTTCTGCAACATGGCTTTCTGGCGAGAAGTCGGTCGGCAATTGCGCCGTGTACCAAAAACCGGGGATATTTGTTTGACTCAATCGCGGAAATCCCTAAGTTATTCAAGGTCATGGACGAACACCGGGATCACCCCACACCCTCGGTCGGATATCAATGCACGGAGAAGCCTGCAATCACCTTTACGTGGATATAATACAGCCCGGCGGGCTTTCTCAGTGACCGCACAATCTGCGCATGGTCATATCACGCCGCCAAAGGCCGGAGAAGAGTAAGCCAGATTGCACTCTTCTTGCGCTCTTCCGATGTCTGCGCTGCATGCTGACGGAATCTTTAGGATCAACTTGACTTTCATCGACAAGGATGGCACCAAGATAGACCTCCAGGTTGCCGAGGGCGATAACCTACTCGACATTGCGCAAGCAAATGACCTTGAAATGGAAGGTGAGGTCGAGCCGATATAATTCGTATTTAACCTCAAATGTCTGACATAATGCCGGGAATAGGTGCATGCGGAGGATCCTGTGCCTGCTCAACGTGCCATGTCATTGTGGAGGACCCGGACGCCTTTGATAAAATGGAAGAGCCATCGGACGACGAGAATGACATGTTGGATCTGGCTTTCGGGCTTACCGAGACCTCTCGGTTGGGCTGCCAGGTGATCATGACCAAGGATCTTGATGGACTGGTCGTGCGATTGCCGTCCATGACACGGAATCTCCAAGCAAGCGACTTCGAGTCGAAATAAAGACGCTAGCAGAAACCCCAAGACGGACTGTTTGGATCTTGAACACCCTCACATCTTATCTGAACTGAGACGGCTGGTCACAGCGGAGGTTTATGGTCCTATTTGAACACCAAATATAGGACTTTGTACTGTAATATTCACTCGATGCATCTAGTAGACTTGCGCGGTGTCGCAAAATGAAAATCTCCTGTACTATTCTAATCAAACAAAACTCTCCACATAAGCAATTTTATTACAACGTAGAGAAGAATATATAACAAAAAAAGACTCTCCCAACGCCAGAAACATGCCATAGGTAATCGTAGATCCACCTCACGCCTCTTCGATGTTCAAAGGCTTTCCCTTCTTTCCATTGATCAATTCAAGGAATCCTTGCTTGCTGACCTCGTTGGCAGCCTTCTCCCGCTCTCCCATACCAATTGTGCCCTTCTTGCGCTCATCCTTGGCCGCCTCCTCTCCTCGGACTTGGGCCGCGCGCACAGCATTGAACAGCTTGACGACACCACGCTGCGCCATCTTGCGCACCCGCTTCTCCTCCTCGGCGACAGGGCCGGCAATTCCTCGCTTAATACCCATCACATCACGGATACGGCCGCGATCCAATTCCTCTTTCTTGTCGGCGCGCATCTTAGCCCGCGCGGCATTGTCGAGCTTCTCATCTGAAGCCTCGGTGACCAACTTGGCGGCATATGAGCTTCGCGAGAGAACGGGATCAGCCCGTGCGGAGGTAGGAAGCTTTGTGGACAGAATTTTGGAGATGGAGGTTGAGAATGCGGTAGGGTCGTTGCGCTTGGGGACGGCTCGACCGCGATTGGCGCCTGTGGCTTTGTCGGCCGGGGAGGAGTCAGAAAGATCGTCTTCGTCGGATCCAGAGACGTCGCTTTCATCGTCGTCGTTCTCGAGGTCTTCGTCGTCCAGCTCGATCTCCTCGCCGACATTGGAGTCTGAGTCGCTAGCGTCCGATTTTTCCTGTTCCGGTGCGGGTGCTTCTTTTTGTGTCTTTGCCTTCTTCATGCGTAGATCGAGAGCCGAAGGCTTGGCCACTGACACTCCTTCTTCTTCGGCGTCCGAGTCTTCGAGACTGACGGGGTTGAAATTCCCATCTTCTTCGTCCTCTGAGCTGCTGTGATAGAAGCGCTGCTTGACGAACTTCTTCTTGCGGCCAGTCTCGCCCTTTAGGCCATCAAGGACCTTGCGCTTCTTAGAAAAAGCAGGAGGCATTGTCACAAAATATAATGTAATAAATGCAAGTAAAGAAGAAAGTCGAGACGCTGATCTAACGTGCCGTATCACAACTTTTTTTTGGGGCGGTGAGAAAGCGTCGGCTCTCCGATTGGCCCCTCCACATTGCCTCTGTGGTCTCTCGACGGGCTTCATCCTCACCCCTCCTCCATCGTGGAATCATAGACGACTACGGTCATATTCTGGGTTTTCCTTTTAGTTGTTTACATCTGTACACATATTCACCATGGTTCTTCAAGACCTTGGGCGGCGAATCAACTCCGCCGTCAATGACCTGACGAGATCCAATAACCTCGACGAGAAGGTATGCTATGTGTTGTCCAGTGTGGCCCACAAGTCAGCCCGCTAATACAATAACAGGCCTTCGATGACATGCTCAAGGAAATTTGCGCCGCTCTTCTCTCCGCCGATGTCAACGTCCGTCTCGTAGGAACTCTACGCAAGTCGATCAAGGCCAGCGTGAACTTCGCATCGCTGCCAGCCGCGGTGAACAAGAAGCGACTGATTCAGAAGACCGTCTTTGACGAGCTCGTAAAATTGGTGGACCCGCATGCAGACTCCTTCCGGCCGAAGAAGGGTCGCTCTAATGTGATCATGTTCGTCGGTTTGCAGGGTGCGGGTAAGACAACAACGTGTACGAAGCTGGCTCGGCACTACCAGACGCGAGGGTTCAAGACAGCGCTGGTCTGCGCGGATACCTTCCGTGCTGGTGCTTTTGATCAGCTGAAGCAGAACGCCACCAAGGCCAAGATCCCATACTATGGTAGTCTGACGCAGACTGATCCGGCTGTCGTAGCCGCAGAGGGTGTGGCTAAGTTTAAAAAGGAGCGTTTCGATATTATCATTGTTGATACCAGTGGTCGTCACCGGCAGGAGGAGGAACTGTTCACGGAAATGACACAAATTCAGACTGCCGTGACGCCAGACCAGACTATTCTTGTACTTGACAGCACAATCGGTCAAGCGGCCGAGGCCCAGTCCGCAGCATTCAAGGCAACGGCAGACTTTGGAGCTATTATTATTACCAAGACTGACGGCCATGCCGCCGGTGGTGGTGCCATTTCTGCTGTCGCCGCCACGCACACTCCCATTATCTTCCTCGGTACCGGTGAGCACATGATGGATCTGGAACGATTCGAGCCCCGCGCGTTCGTTCAGAAGCTACTGGGCATGGGCGATGTCGCCGGACTGGTCGAGCACGTCCAGGCCATGACGAAGGATTCCGCAGGTGCCAAGGAAACATACAAGCACATTGCGGAAGGTATCTACACTCTGCGCGACTTCCGGGAGAACATCACATCGATCATGAAGATGGGCCCGCTGTCCAAGTTATCCGGCATGATCCCCGGTCTGTCTAACATGACCCAGGGTCTGGATGACGAGGACGGCTCACTGAAGCTGCGCCGCATGGTCTACATCTTCGACAGTATGACTGTAGCCGAGCTGGACGGTGATGGCAAGAACTTCGTCGAGCAGCCTAGTCGTATGGTCCGCATCGCGCATGGTAGTGGAACCACCGTCCGTGAGGTCGAGGATTTGCTCTCCCAGCACCGCATGATGGCCGGCATGGCCAAGCGTGTTGGTGGCCAGAAGAAGCAAATGCAGCAGGCTCAGAACATGATGAAGGGCGGAAACAAGAATCAGCAGATGGCTGCCATGCAGAAGCGCATGGCTTCGATGGGTGGTGCCGGCGGCGGTGGTATGCCCGGTATGCCTGACATGGCCAAGATGATGCAGATGATGGGAGGTGGCGGTGGTGGCATGCCGGATATGCAGAGCCTAATGAGCCAAATGGGCGGGTTGATGGGTGGAATGGGAGGTGGCGGTGGTGGACGTGGAAGAGGACGTTAAGCTTGGTCTTTGATGATCTTCTTGGTGCCTCCCTGCCTTTTCCCCTCCTTTTTCCATATCAAACCGCTGGCTCATCAACTTAGCATCTGGGCTGGTGTTTCGGCGTTTTCTTGCTCCTTCACATTATGTGCAACCCTTGTATACGAGAACAAATTCACATATACCATCCTGAGAAAGGAATCATATTTCCTTATTCTACATCTCGAATTACGATTTGAAAAGGGCATATTGCAGTGCGCCCACTGTACTATCGTTTCATTCATAATAAAACCACGTTGTACACATAATCCTTAAAGAGAAACACCGCTGAAATCCATCCGTCTAATGAAATGAAAGAAATGAGATCGAAAACACAGGGACCACCAGATTAAGCACTGACCATGTTCATAGCGGCCAGGAGACCCTGCACCAGGCGAACCCGGGGAGATCGAATGAGAATCAATATGTCATGCTTTTGGCTAGACAGAGAATAGATCGAGCCAAATAAATATACATGAAGCTCAGATCGATTCCCCATGCGAGGCAGGGAGACAAAGACAGGAAGGATATGAGACACGTCCGTATGATGGTACATGGAGCGCCCGGGAAAGGAGGGGGTATGGGTATCAAAAATGTCCTTGTGGGGGAGGACCGGAAAATCACAGGTAACCCGGACGCATAAGATCCACAGTGAGGATTGTTTATTTTTCAGCGAAGCGACGGTCAAAGTACCGCAGCACACCCATGACGCTTGCAGCCTCGACTTCCATTGCACCGCGGCTGTCTGGGGGAGCGATCTCGCGGGGGTCAGGGAGGGTGTGGAGCTTCGGCAGCCAGGTTGAGATCTCGTCGCTGGCGCGGGAGAAGTTCGGGTGACGGGACAGGGTGGTGAAAGTGTCGGCACAGCTGAGCGTCAGCTCTGAGGGCGGAGCGGGCTTGGGTGCGGGAGGTTGCGAAGGCATGGCGGCGTTTTTACGCGGGTTGGGCGCGGTGGCGGGGGCATTTCTTGACATGCAACATCCGCCATCCTTTCCTCCGCCTCCGCAGCAGCCTCCTCCCGATGGAGTTCCGCTCGCTGACCGGGAGGCTGCCAACGTCTTGCAAAAAAGAGTGCTTCGGGGGTCGGCTTGACACTGGGCGCAGGTGCCTGGCCCGTTGGCACAGGGGTTGGTTGCTTGGCTGATGGGTGGGAGGGTCACTTCTGAGCGGACGTCTCCCTCGGATGGGGGCGGGGTGAATTGGGAGATGGATTGGATTGGTGCGAGACGGTTGGTCTCGAATGTGTTGATGTTGCGTACGCGCTGCTGCTCCTGTGCGGCCATCTCGGCACAGATACAGGGAGTGCCATCCTGGCAGAACCCGCAGGGATCATCAGGGGGCGAGGAGACGTTGTTGTCCTGAGACTGGACCGGAACGCTAGAGAACTGAGCGGTGAAGTCGATTTCCATCTCTTCCGGATCGGGCTTGATGTGGGGATCCCTATGGTCTCGTTCCGGGCTGCCCACGCCATGAGGTTCGTGCCTAGAATGAGATGACTCGTGGGTATCCATTGGCATGCCGAATGCATCTTCAATGCACTGGCAGTGGGCGTTGGAACAGTTGTTGCACCCCAGAGGTACATTCGTCTGTCCATCTTCCTTGTTACGCTCGGTACTAGTAGGCTGAACATCCTCCATTCGGGAGCTTCTTGTCTTGCGAGGTGGCAAAGGCACAGAGTCCGGAATGGGCGCGGGCTTGCTGGCACTAGGGCCAGCAAGGGATGACCGGAATTCCTTGACCAGGGCTTCCTTTGCGCTGCGCTCGATCGATACTTCCTTCTCCAAGGCGTGGCATCGGTCGCGCCACCATCCCATCTCCTCGCGGCACTGATCAACCTCACTGGAGAGGTTTCCAATTTGCTGTTGAAGCGAGGCGACTTGGATATCGTGATTATCTTCCATTTCCTTCATTTGCTCCTCCAGTTCACCGACACGGGCGGCCCGACGCTCACGGAACGCTCGTTGAGCTGCTCGGTTCTGCGCTTTGCGTTTGGTCGGCGGTGTGTCTGTAGCTGGCTTGCGACCTGGCTTGGGACGTGGTGGGATTACCCATTCTTTCGAGGTGATGGAGCCGGGTGTACCCGGTCCCGGTGAAGGGGCTACGGAGGGCCTGGCGGCCAACGCGGGCGCCGGTGCGAGGGCCAGTGCAGGAACTCCAGCTGGAGCAGGTGTCATAGACACACCACTGGCCATTTTGACACCAAATTGATGTTCAACTACTATGTTCGAAGTCAGTTGGGAACAAGTAATCGGGCGTGGTCGGGGCAGACGCACGAGCCGTTTCTCGGTCGGAAAAGCGGAAGTGCGCTCATATGAGCCGATAAGCGAGAAATACTAGTTGGAGAGGAAGAACGAGTTTTCTTTCAAACCCTGTTCTGTCTGAAATAAATCAGTGCGGGAATGGACACAGAAAGGGTATACAAAGGTGAAAAGAGAAGAGGGAGGGAGGGGGAAAGGCGAGAAAAAGTCACCGATGATCAGATTAGATCTATGTGCTCACATGATGCCGGTTTCGGACGTTGAGCTTTCGGCTGTATACTTTTCTCTTCCAAGGTTTGATCTTCTTTTTCTTTTTTTGCTGATTTACCATTGGTTCATTTGCAATTTCGCTAACAAAATCCCGCGATGCCCTTTGAAATTTTTTATCTGATCCGAATCTGAGTGGGGATGGTTCCGAGAGAGCGTCGGTGGGTTGTCGCAACATTCTTTACTGTAATATGTTCTCATTTTTCCTTCGCTAACTGCGTGTATTTTTTCCTTAGGCACACTTCGAGAACCACCTGAAATAGCGAAGGATCGCAATAGCAAGCAATTGCGTCCCAATTCCCAATTGCATACTCCGTAACATGCTAAACTTCCTATGCAGCCCACCGTTCACCCGCCTGATCGTCGATGACTCAATGACAGGCGACACGGATCAGAACTCTCCAGTCGATGTAAAATTTGCTCGAGTGGGCCGCCTCTGACCATAGGTGGGCAAGACCTCCCTACTTCCGGTCTACCAGCCCTGTAGTCATTACCTAGCAGAAACGGCGATTGGGCCAATAAGAACGTGCCAATGCCCAAAAGAACTTTCCGAGGACTCATTCACCAGCGGTGAGAGTATAGATCGACATGGGAATTGGATCCCGTACGTCCGTTCTCGGTCTCTCTGATCTTATCTGATTGCACTAACGCCGCTCGTCGTTAGGGCTGACCGCAATCCAAGGGCTGCGCTAATAATCGGCAGACTTATCTCTCTTTCACTGCCGTATTTTACCCCTGGATGATTGGGTCGACCTTTTATGGAAATGGTTGGTGGTCTTGGCCAACCTTGGAAGTGCCCCCCATAGCAGAATCTTATCAATCAGTAAATGCACCCCAACGTCATTGCGAGGGCCGAACAGCGGAACTTTCGTGTACATGGCCCGATCTGGAGAACACCGCCAGTTAGTCACAGCCAGGGCTGATTGTGACGTGCGTATGCAGAGACTGACGGTGGAAAAAGTGGAATGCGTGGAAAGAAGCCGCCATTGGACACACCATGGCGCTTAAAGGCCTATTCTCGGCGATCCGAAAGACTGATCCACTATCCTCAGTTATATCTCTTCGGTGCGATGATCATGAAACGAGTAGTCTAAACCGACTTGATGACGCAGTCTGCTCGTGAGATTCTAGCAAACATCACGAATCTCCAATTCGTACTTGATCTGCTGAGTTGAATTACAATATAGAATCGAAACTATAAGCAAATTGGATTCCAGCTAAAGCCGGTCATTGCCGGGATTCGGCTTTCGCCTTCAGAGCTCTCAATCTGCAAGGGACATGAAGTCTACCTTAATACCTAGAATATATCTAATTCTCTATCTAGTATTTGATCCACAAAATACCAATACTTTTCTGGCTCCAATGGGGAGTCAATGGACTGTCGAGGAAAAGAATATGCATTTCATTCCGTTAACGAGATCAGCCTGACCCCTTAGCACTACACGTTTCCAAGAGGCGGGTAGTGGTATATGTCCGAGAGGTAATTAGCATAGGAGTCCCCAAATTGAGAAGCATTCACAACTCCGTTAATCGAGGAGCTCCATGTTTTGGAGGAGCAGAGTGCTTAGTCTGCACGAAGACCTTCTGCATGCCCATTTCTCGCCTATTGAAAATCGCATACAATTTCTCCATATCTTCCAAACGGACCCGGTGCGTCACCATATCCAGCGGATTGATATCGCCCGTCTGAATAAGATGCATAAGGTGTTTCCAATACTTGTGGACAGGAGCCTGTCCATTACCCATAAGGTGAACACCTGTCTGCATCAGAGCCCCAATGTTAAAGTGATTGGTCTGAGAATGATCGTTAGCTACTTCACTCTTCCGAAACCGGTGAACTCACAAATCCGGCGTAGACACCCGTCACTCCAACATGGCCAAATGGGCGAACAGCAGTAATCATTTCATTCAACAGCTCCGAAGTATCCGTCTCCATTCCAAGCATCTGCTCGAAGTAATGCGCCCATCCTTTGGCGTATTCACCCGCTGCACACTCTAAAGCAACGTCCGGTCCGCCATCAACCATCTTTTGCAGCTGTGATATTACTGACTCGCCTTTAGGCAGATTTGTGAAGTTGACTAACTCGACCTTGGGCGCTTTTGTCTTCACGAAATCTAATCGCCATGCACCATCACCTCCATCGATGAGGATGACTCGACTAGCTCCATGGAAGAAGCTGAACTGTGCACACATCTGCCCGATTGGCCCGGCTCCCCAAATCGCAACAACATCACCTTTCTTGACACCGGTGTCGACCACGCAGTGCCACGATGTTGCTATAACATCCGAGACATAAAGTGCCTTCTCATCTGGTACTTCGGCTGGAATAGAAAGAAGATTGACGTCGCCGTATGGAACTCGAATGTACTCGGCCTGGCCACCTGCAAACCCACCTGTGAAATGGGAATATCCAAATATGCCTGTTCCCAATTTAGTATGAATATCAGGACCCCCGAGTCCAGTTACTCTGCTGGACTTACCTGCAGTTCGCTTCCCATACAAGGCATTGGTCAAAGTGTTCTCGTGGGTCTTGTCACATTGGGAATAGTACTCTCTCCGACAATTCTTACAATCCCCACAAGCAATCGGAAAAGAAACAACAACTCGTTCTCCAACTTTGACATTCTTTGCCTCGGGCCCTATACTGTCGACAACCCCACAGCATTCATGGCCGAGCACGTCGCCCTTCTCCAGCTGAGGAATGACCCCTTTGCCCGACGCTTTTGTGTCAGTCTATTCGCTTGCTCGGATGGTCATGGAATTATTTTCATACCGTGATATAGGTGCAGATCGCTACCGCAAATAGTGCTTCCTGTTACCCTGACAATCACGTCTCCAGGGTCGATCACCCGTGGCTTGGGCATTTTCACTAGTCGCAGAGTCAGCGATGCACAAAAGGCTTAAAATGACAATTGCCTCTCTCGCGTACCAACTTTGACTCGGTTCTTCCCTTGCCAAGTAGTAGCCTGGATCATCTCTCCGGTCTCCACTCCATATTCATTGTCGTAGCTGGACACATCAGTGGTGACTGTTGCATTATCACCATGGCCAAGAACCTTCTCTATCAGGTTTGCGGCCTGGGACATTGCCATTTTCAATCTATTTGAGCAGATTGAGCTTATGTATGATTGGGATACGGGAATTTACCCGTTCACTGTGTCCATATGTGTTAATCAAAATTCCCAGCACAGATTTGTACTTATCGAGCGGATCCGCACTCAATCTTTATAGGTGATTCTTCTTTATACTATATGTAAATGCTCAAACCCCGGGTTTTTGGGGATTTCCTGTCAACTGACATCACCATGATGCGGGCGTGCGTCAAGCAGAGCAACAGCGCAATATAATATGGATGCTGCTGTATAACGAGCATTATATCTCCGGAATTCATGAAACGAATTGAGCCGGCTATCTTTGCACCTTTCTCCAGGCCCATGATGTCATTCCCTTCCCACGGAGGTCACTTGCTCTGCGTGACCACAGTAGAAACGTGGATTTCATTTGACTGTAATACTCCAAAGAGGAGTTTAGAGAAGGCCAAATAGTTGCAGCCAGGTGTGGATGAAAGCGTTCTAGACCATCGGAGTTGTCGATGTGCGATAATCTTCCGATATATATCGCGGTATAGTTGCAGACAAATACGTGTAATTTTCACCAGTGCTTTAATTAATTGATCTTTACATTGCTTAAGGTACAAGCAGCAATGGAATATCATAAGCTCACCTTGAATATTCTCTTACTCAAATGTTGTCTTCGCAGTGGCAGATTTACTAGAACCAATCTACTAGTTAGCAAAATGGCGTCATAGGGCTTGATTTCGATGTATGCGATTTGTAGGTCGGAACTAAGCATTTACCAAGCCAACTATGTTGTAGATTGTTGCTACTCCATACAAGGTTAATAGAATATTCCTACCTACCTGTGAGTACCATTTAACCTATAAAAAAAGAACATGTAGTTGTCCGCCAATAAACACCCGTGGAGAGCTGAATCTGTTATCACCAGACTCGGCGATAAGCAAGGGATATATCCAGGTACCAGCCCCCCGGGACTCCGCCTTTTCCCCTCACGAGTCATTCTCTCCTCCAACTCTCCCTCTTCCCTATACTCATACAACTCAACGCTACATCTACAATATGACCAGAAAATACAACTCGGTGCAAGGCCTCGATATGCCATGGGCCTCACAAATATCCGCCCAGCTGCCCAGTCCGTTCATGCCTGTACCTGCAGCACAGCCAGTCCGAGCTCAGGCACCCATCGCCGATGAACCCATCCGACCCGAGGATTACTCTAAACCATACTGCGAGTTCATGACATCCAATCCCACAATTTTCCACGCTGTCAAATCTTTCTCCAAGCAGCTCGAAGAGCATGGCTACAAGCACCTCTCCGAGCGAGCGGTGTGGACATCGGAGCTGAAACGAAGCGGCAAGTTCTACACTACCCGCAACGGCAGCTCTTTGATTGCTTTCAACGTTGGCTCCAAATACGAGAGCGGCAACGGGGTGGCTATCGTTGCTGGCCATGTCGATGCCTTGACCGCCAAGCTGAAGCCCGTGTCCAAGCTACCAAACAAAGCAGGCTTCCAGCAGCTCGGCGTTGCCCCGTACGCCGGTGGTCTCGGCGCTACTTGGTGGGATCGCGATCTTGGTATCGGTGGTCGTGTGCTCGTCCGCGATCCGGAAACTGGCAAGGTGGAGACTAAGCTGGTCAAACTTGACTGGCCTATTGCTCGTGTGCCTACCCTCGCTCCCCATTTTGGGTCTCCTGCGAATGGCCCATTCAACCAGGAAACCCAAATGGTGCCTGTTATCGGAATTGATAACTCTGATTTGTTTGATCACTCCAAGGTCGAGTCTAGTGACGCCAAGTTTGGCACATTTACCTCGACCCAGCCTGAGAAGCTTGTGAAGATCATCTCCAATGAGCTTGGTATCACAGATTATAGCACTATTGTCAACTGGGAATTGGAACTCTTTGATACTCAGCCCGCTCAACTAGGAGGTCTGGAGAAGGACATGATCTTCGCCGGTCGCATTGACGACAAGCTCTGCTGCTATGCTGCACAGGAAGCGCTCATTGCTTCTTCGGACAGCACATCGACCGGAACCGTAAAGATGGTTGGTATGTTCGATGACGAAGAGATTGGCAGTTTGCTTCGCCAAGGTGCTCGGTCGAACTTTATGAGCAGCGTCATTGAGCGTATTACCGAGGCGTTCGCGAAGGACAACTACGGTCCCAACCTCCTTTCCCAGACAGTGGCCAATAGCTTCTTGGTATCATCAGATGTCATCCACGCAGTCAACCCGAACTTCCTTAATGTCTACCTTGAGAACCACGCGCCCCGCCTTAACGTTGGCGTGGCAGTTTCTGCCGACTCAAACGGACACATGACTACCGACAGTGTCAGCGAAGGCGTCATGAGGCGAGTTGCAGAGCGCTGTGGGTCAACCCTGCAGGTCTTCCAGATCCGCAATGACTCTCGCAGCGGTGGCACTATTGGGCCCATGACCAGTGCCCAGATCGGCATGAGGGCCATTGACTGCGGTATCCCGCAGCTGAGCATGCACAGTATTCGGGCGACTACTGGTAGCTTGGACCCCGGCCTGGGTGTTAAGTTGTTCAAGGGATTCTTTGACCACTATGAAGAAGTCGATAAGGAGTTCACCGACTTTTAGATCGATAATTCCGCACTTTGCTTTAGACACTATAGAGCCCCTTCTCATTTGTGTATGCTTGTTATAGGCGGGTTGCCTCGTTATTCTACTCTTGGGGCGTGTATTGGACTACAACCAAGCGGCTTCATTCTGTGACTATTGCTCCAACTCTCGGTATTAAGTTATCTGTTTGAATCGATGCTGTACTTCGACTATCTATATATCCAAGGATTTCCAAACCTACATTCCGTATTACTACATTTAAAATGACATAAGGAAGAAATAATGAGTGTCACAGGTATACCCCACGGGGCGATCATCCGACAACCGCCAAGCCCAAGGAGCGTGGTGAACTTTGAAGGGAAACAAAAAAAGGAAAATCTGACGGGTATATGACATTATACTCCAAGCCACCAAGCTGACTGCAAGAGCCATCCAAAAACCAAATGCGTGTCTAACCAACAGACCTTCAAAACGGCACCGCTGAATCCGCAGGCAAAGGACGAGGATGCGTTAGATTAGGACGACTGCGAGGCTCAGGAACAAAAGCAATCCGAGCTAATTTCTTCTCTTCCTCTCTCGTCCAGCGCTTAATACTAGGCCTGAAGCCAGTACCAGGAACAAGAGCGAGAACCCGCTCCGGGTCACCGGCGCCGTACTCGTGTTCCTCGCCCGGTGCACCGAGGGTTGATGCATCACCGTTCCAATCGGAGTTGCGCTGGGTTGTGTCGCCGCGGGTGGGACGGCTGGCGTTGAAGGTCGATACCATTCCTGGGAAGATACGGGCGACGAGGGGTTTTAGGGTTGGTAGACAGGCGCAGATTATGCCTGTGTTGCATTCGATGGCGGACCAGGAGGCAGCGCCGACGTTATCGTCTGGTTTGTGTAGTGTTAGCTTGGTTTTGGGTTGTGGTAGGGTGGAGGGATACGATACGTACAAGTGGGATCGGATGATTCGGCGATTTGTTTCAGGCTGACTAGACGGACTATACTGGTGATGCAGACACTAGTGTATGCTATGTTAGTTCTGAACAGTTGATGTCTGCAATAGGATAACTCACAAGCCACCCAGAGCAAACATGATCATCAAAGCGATCCTCTGTTTTCGGGGCAAATCGACTGCCATTAAAGCCGGGATGGGAATTATAAGGATAGCAATATCGGTCGCGATGTGCATACTAGCATTGGAAAACCACAGTTTAGTCTTATCCAAACAGTAACCCTGGATCGAATCGTCCCAGAATTTTGCGACGGGAATGCAATTGAGGAATGCACTGATCACTGCCCATGTGCCATAGATGGCGAGGAGAGTGATCATGACCCAGCAGACGACCCGCATGCGGTGCGTTGGGAAGACTCGGAAGTACTGCATCAGGATTGAGGCTTTGGCGCAGAGTACGGCGGCGTTGTAGAAAGGAATGGTGAGCCAGAAGGCCTATTCGGATTGATTGTTAGATGTAGTTGATACTGATGACTTGGCTTAGGGCAAGCTCACCTTCATCTGTCTCTCGAGAATGCTTGGTGGGATATCTTTCAAATGCACTCCCATGCCACTGACGGCTTCGATAATGTCGAGGGCCATGAAGACATATGAATTGACCTATACACCTGCATCAGTATTTGGTATTCATCGATATCAACCACCCAACTCACCAGTGCGATAATGACCATCCAATCATTTGCTTCTACCCGATTCATAAGTTTCATTCGAGTATACATCCTCAGAACCACGAAGAAGGTTGCCAAGGCCGTGAACACAACGCTTATAATTAAGCCCTGCTCGCCTCGGGAGGACATAAATATGCCGTCATTATCTCGCCTGAAGATCGCATCTCGAATGTACAACAGATTCATTGTCAAACGATCTTGTGGCTTTAAAGAAAAGAAGGGATGGCTACTCCTCAAAGAGAAGATTGCCCGAGGGATAGTCCAACGATCAGATCAATATACGATCTTGATCTGATTGACGACTGAGATAGGGCACCAAAGGAGTGATAGGAACAACCTCTCCATTAAGAAGCGAAGAATTACGAGAGGATATCTCCGTATTATAATTCCCAAGCGCATAAAACTCATGCGCAGCGTCGCCATCAACAATGCAGCCCCAGAAACCGAACGGCCTAGGAACGAATCCACTATCCCTTTTTGAGATAGACGGACAGTACCAATTCCCTAAGAGGACAGTCATTTTATCTCTCCCTCACTCCTCGGATGAGCGGGCGAGTGCTTTTGACGCGAGACAGGATCCCCGTCTGGGAAGCGTGTTTGCAGCAGCGTGCAGCGCAAGGGGCCCCATACAACGAATCGGGTCCAGCGTTGGCCCCGATGGACTCGATATGCACATCTGTGCTCCGTAATAACTACAACTCTATGATGTTTCTTTGTTATTTTTGTTTTTGCTCTTTCTTTTCAAATAATTTTTTGCTTTGAACCTGGTGGCTGTGGTTACAATTTACATGGGAATAAACTACAGTTTGCAGGGCTTTGATATATCAATTCCCACACCTTATTCTGAGACCCATTTACCCCTTCCGTCTCACTGGCCTTGAATGATCAATAATTTCAATTTATTCCTGTGGATCGCCCATGGACGATCTGCTCGATCACCGATCAGATCGGGACTGCACTGTGTTGTTCTCTCGATTGACGCACGGCAAACTATACTTCCACGGACTATCATTCGGTTCCAAGATTTAGATGCTATATACATGCAATAATAGAATTGATTCCAAATCACTTTGAATATACCATGATGCAAGACTTGCAGACAGCTCGCAGGTCATCTCAGTTGATATCCGATCATCTCCGACGGTGACACTGAAGAATCATTTAGAGCAACCGATGATAACGCGTGGGCCCAGGGACTATGCTTACCTGGAGTCAGCCAACCCTATGTGACAATCTGCGCAGGGAATCTCCCACTGCAGTTGGTCCACATGTGAAAAGTCCCTGGGCCATAGGGATCAAGTTTAGCTTAAGAGTGTCAGTATTATTAATTATAATTACTGGTTCATACGCGTCGCCTTAGGTTAGACGCTAGCCCTCAGATTCTTTTCAATGACATAGTTTTGATGCAGTGCAAACGGCAATGACAGAGATAATGGGTGAAAGCCTGGAGTCCCAATATCGAGACACTCTCCATTGATCAGAACACGACCCCTGTCTGAATACACTATGCAGGAGTTGATCTACTTCTCTTCGACTTATGGCCCTCTCATTCTGCCCCTCATCTTGTTACCTTGGAGATTTGAGGAATGGTTAGAACAAGATTGCATCTGTCTTAAACAGTCTTGACAGTTGACTGAGAAACGAACAGTCTACTGTAGACATTGTCTCATTTTGCAAGTTAGGGCTATATTAAGCTCATCTGCCGCGCCTCGTGCGTAAGGGGCACTATATTTATTGCCACTGAACTACTTTGTATGCAACAGATATACCCATACCTAAAATAGCAGAGTGTACAGTTGAATAGCGAATGAAAACGTAGGAGAAGGGTGAAGTTAAACCTCCTATTTGTTGGGATATCCAGCCACTTCATTCGATAAAGTCAGAGGCCTCGTAAGGGATAATCATTTTCCATCGCCCCGGATATTCGCTCCCGAAAAGCTTCCTTTGCTTTAATTTCAGAATCCGTCGACTTATTAAACCTGTTAGTTAGTTGGTCTTTTTTGGTTAATGTTTCTCATACAAAGAACGTCGGTCTCAGTATGACAATGTGGCCTCCACTAGTCGCGTCCCACAACATCCAAAGCTGCTAACCACGCAATTCAGCTCGTGGCAATGCATCGAAATTTTGGAAGAGTTCAAGAAAAAGCAATTAAAACGTTACAATCTTTGGACTGTTCCCTAATGGAGTGTGGCCAAAAGGGACCCCTGCCAAGGTGGCGCTGGCTAGTTGATATGTCACATACGACTATGACCTACCTGGGTAGGGCTACTCATTTGGACACATAGATATTCAAAGTTGGGTTTCTGTCGCAGGATCAAAGAAACATGGCTTTGCACCTAGCTGCCACATTTTGAATACTGTAGTGGAACACTCATATATGCAATACCTCTTGTCAATATGTAGGGCGCTAGGTGCTAGACTCGTATTGCATGCAGGCTGCCTTGCTTACCGAGTTGTCATGGCAGCTTGGGACTTAAAATCTTGCATTAATCTAGAATGTAGATTGTAGAATCTAGTTTCTATTAAGATCCGACTACTCCCCAATACCCTTAGGAACTTAAACCCACGTTCGATTTGCAGACTGAAAACTTACGCTAGACGCGTAAACCGTTATTGCTCTGTTAGGGAGGAGCTAATGGAAGCTTAAAAAAGCGACTACTGTGTCGCAATTTTGGGCCATTTGATACGCCAAGACGGTTCTATACTCACTCTAGTCAACGATGTCGTGGGGTAGGGTGCATCTCCTTACCACCCCTTTATCTCTGGTCACCTAACCTACTGCAACTAGCCGGATTCAAATTAGGATCGGGACAGCTTGATTGGAGTGGATTCCACGTGTATTGACCGCTCTCTCTCTCTCTCTCTCTCTCTTTCTCTAGTGGGTTTGAGTCTCAAACGTCCCATGCGAGATATTGCATATTCGAGGACCCTTCTCAGAGAGGTCTTCCTGGATCTGCTGAATTGAAGTCAAGACAAATTCTTACATACCACAGGCCGGAAACCCCCTGAAGTTATTGTGGGCTGTGCAAGCTCCTTGGACCAAGATGTCAAATGAACTCTGTATTCTAAATCAAGCCGCTGATGGTTAGAACGCGAGAAGTCATTATGGTTCCTTACAGCCTGCAACTCTCTTTGCCATTGTTCTTTTTTCTATTTTCTTTTTCACACAAGGACCCTCAGGATTTTGGTCGAGGCTGCAGGTTGAAACATGCAATGTCCCTATTCTAGGGAAGATCAAATATCCACAGAGAGATATACATATGTATACGACAGGCGAGACTATGGTAATAACCTTGCATTGGTTGGAAGCTGTTTGCGTCAATCGAGAAGTTCTGTCCGATGGTTCTACGGTATACCATCTTATGAACCTAACCCTGCCGCAAGAGACGGACAGATTCGTTTGGCTGTCAGAAGCCATTCTGTTTCCTATTTGAAGACACTCTTTACTCAGCCCGGGGAGGCATTGGCAACCTGTCGGCCTGGTTTCCAACATGTGCTGGTCTCAACATGGCGGTGACTGGGTGTTATGTCCTACCTGAAGAAAGGAGGGAATCTTACTTCTGCTGGGAGCTATAAGCATCTATTTCTAGTGATTTACCTCCACCATAGGCATAAATCCCCTCATTCAATCGAAATTGTATAGGGCCATTCGAGGATCGTGGAAAATATCTTGAAAACATCGGCATTCTAGCCTCCATTTTGCCTAAGGATATTCAATTTGATATTCACAACAATCTGAATATCAAATATCAAGAAAATAAACGTACAGTCGAAGCTTTTTGATGTACAATTACATGGACGAAGACGAAAGTGGCAGTAGATTTGGATAGGCGATAAGATAGACCGATAAGGACGCACAGGCCGCTGTTCACAGAGAAATTTCCTTCTCACAACTTGGCCAATTCTGTCAAGCCGACAACGATCTCGTCTTTTCTCATTGTCGGTCAGTGGGAATAGTTCTAGTGTATAGGACAACATGGCAGACAATATAGCCGCATCCACTAAGCCCGTTCACACAATCGTGCTGGACGCTGGCCCGATTCTCAAGAATACCCCGCCGCTTTCAACCCTCCTTGCCCAGTGCGACGAAATTATCACCACCCCCTCAGTGGTCGGCGAGATCCGCGATCCCGATGCCCGCGCACGTGTTGAGACCCTCTACCTACCTTTCTTGAAACAGCGATCCCCCACACCCAAGAGCTTCAATATCATCAGCGAATTTGCTCGCAAGACCGGGGACCGTTCTGTCCTGAGTAGAACCGATATTGAGGTCCTCGCCCTCGCGTACGAAATTGAATGCGAAAAGAACGATGGGGATTGGCGGTTAAGAAGCGTTCCTGGACAGAAGCAAATCAATGGAAAGCCGCCTGTGAAGGAGGAATCCGAGGAAGTCAAGCCCGAGGATGCGGAGGTGGAAGCCATTACGGAGGGAGTGAAGGAGACCACAGTCGCAGGTGCCCAGGAAGAGTCTCCAGGGGAGGAAGAATCCGCCGCAGCGATCGACGCCGACGAAGTCGCCGAGTTTGCTGTTGCGGTCGCCGAAGAAGAAGAGAAGGACGAAGATCAGGATGCGGAGGATGATGCTGCCGGTGATTCTGACGACGGAGAATGGATCACACCGTCTAACTATAAAAAGCGTCTTGCTAAAGACGAGTCGGGGACAGCAACTCTTACCGCTGCGCCCAAGACAATGCAGGTTGCGACTATGACCACTGATTTCGCGGCAAGTACACCCCACCCAACATCCGTCTATCGTCCAATTGCTTATTCTGTATAGTGTCAAAACGTTCTCCTGCAAATGAACCTCAATCTTCTGTCTACCACCACCCTCCAGAAGATCCAGCATCTTAGAACCTTCATTAAGCGCTGCCACGCTTGCTTCTTGACCACAAAGGAGATGAACAAGCAGTTCTGCCCTCGCTGTGGCAAGGATACACTCACTCGTGTCTCATGCACGACCACTGCCAATGGCGCATTCACAATGCACCTGAAGAAGAACATGCAGTGGAACAAGCGCGGCAATGTATACAGCGTTCCCAAGCCGATCGCAGGCAGCGCGAACGGCAAGTGGAAGGGCGGCGGTGGCCAGCGAGGATGGGGTACTGAGCTTGTCCTCGCCGAAGATCAGAAGGAGTATGTCCGCGCCAACCAGGAAGAAGAGCGGAGGCAGCGTCGCGAGCGTGATCTCATGGACGAAGACTACCTGCCTGGTATCTTGACCGGCGAGCGCAACAGGGCTGGCGGTCGTACCAAGGTCGGTGCTGGCCGCAATGTCAACTCGAGAAAGCGCTAAATGTGGTGCGTGGATGACTTCGCATCTTGATTACATGGGCTGGAGTTTTGGGGCATGGAAAGAAAAAAGTTCATTTGGTCAATGCCGCTGTCATGGTGGTTGCCGGCCTTTTTATGAGGAATGACCATGTCTTGTCTTGTGATTTACGGTTGAACATAGAATATAGCCAATCCATAGGGCTCTTTATGAACATTTTAACAAAATCCTTGTTGATTACCTAGATCAGGTATCGTATTCTCTAGAATGTCTAGGTGAAGCCCTGAATAGATTATCCAAGGATAGCAAAACAAGTATGGCCATCTCAGCCATCCGTTGACCGCAAGAAAAACACCATTCGCCAAAACATGGGCTATGCCACCCGGTAATTCATTTTTCCCAGTGTTGATCCATTTAAGCCTTAGGGGTCTCTGGATGATAAAATGTTAGTCTCCACTACTTCTGAGAGAGAGCAGAGTTCTGGAATGCGACGTACGGGATTGCTGGGTGAGGAGAAGGCCGTAACGCTTCTTCAGGGTGACACGGTGACTGGGAAAGATGTCAGTTTTCAATGTTTCCATTATGCGCCATGTATAAGAACATCGGTACTCACCGAGAGTACTTGTCATCGGGGGAGAAGCGAGCGGGGTGGGCAGACTTGGTGACCTCGCCATTCAGGACCTATAATTGCCAAAAATTAGCATCATTGTCCAAAGTTGAAACTGTGATCTGAGGAGCACATGTTCGCTGAAAAGCGGCAGTAACCCAGGCGCAAAGATTTCCGTACCTTCTTCAAGGTGTAGACACGTTTGCCTTCGTTATCGAGGGTGTACTGTTGGTCAAAAAATTAGCGACTGATCTCCGAACGGAGCTGAAGATTCGCTCGCTTCGATGTCGCAACGAAACTTACCATAAGATGCATTCTGGAGAGAGCAATATTAGCATATGAGCAACGAACACCACTTCGAAGACGAATTAGAAACTCACTTGGCGGTATTGATGAATTGTCCTGTGTTAGTACTTGCGTCGGCGATAAGTGGAGGAATTTTTTCTGAACGAGGAAGAGCTCGGACCACATGCTTAGTCACGGCATCCTTTTTAACCGCAGCTTTCGACCGCAAAATTTCCTTTTTCTCTCGCACTTGAGCAGAGAAGAGAATAATATCTCTTGAATGACATTTAGGCTCTGTTAATGTGCAGAGCCATGGTGGACTTTTACTAATTGACACTTGATTTAGGTTGTTCATATACAAAGACTTGAAAGTAAGATGCTCCTCAGCTTGTACGCTCCCCGCCAGCCCATCCTTCACCTTCACCTTCGGTGATGACACCATTTATTTAGCTCAGGCAGGCGACACTTTGATTTCTAGTTGCCTGTCGATGATCCGCTGAATTGACTACAACGGTATCTGAGAAGATGTTACAATGACGATTGATTCACTCGCATTTTTCTAGCACAGTTCGCTAACCTCGAATTTTGTGTTTAGGAGTTTGAATATCTTCTTATTCAGTAGCGGTTCTCATGATGGCCACTCCAGTAACCACCATGGACAAGACTGTGGCTGCTAAGTCAGGGCCTGCATCAGATGCGCGTCCGCCTCGTGCCCCTCGACCTCCTAGGCCAAACTTCAGACAGATTCACCAGTTTCCTCTTCCGGTCAATGTACATCACGTTCCTCCTGTAATTCCTCATAACCCTCTTTCTCTTATAAGCGTTGTTCTCTCGTACCTCACCTTCCTTATCTCCCCGCCCCGTCAAGAAGTCTACTCGGCCTACTTTGACAAAGCCACCTCATCGATCCATGTCACGGACGAGAGATCGATCAATGCCTTATGGCAGATGGGATTCTTCGGCAAGGGTAGTCTCAGTCGAAGTGAACCCAGCTGGCTGGCGCGAGAGAAAAAACGAAGAGGGTTACATAATGGGAAGACCAGTGAGGAGATTACAAGACTGCGACGGACTGAACGTCGTGAACTGAAGCTAGAGCGTGCCCGTATGGAGAAGCTGGCCATTGAGGAAAGACTCAAAGCCGAGGCGGCTGCTAGGGAAGCCGGTGCTTCTGAATCTCTTGACCAAGCTGCACAATCAACGCCCACAGGCGATACGACTAATGTCACAGCGGCTGCAACGGAGAAGTTCTCCTTGAAGAAGGCAAAAGAAGCTCGGGCGCTGGAGGCAAAGCAGGCACGGGAATTGGCTGCACAAAACGCGGCTCTCGCTGGACAAAACCAACCCGAGACCTCGTCTAACAGCAAATCTGTGCGCTTTTCGCCCGTCGTGCAAAAGAAAGAATTCCTATCTACCTCGCCGTCGTCACTACAATTGCCTGATTCCGTCATCAGCAACCTCGATGCAGATGACTTCCCAAATGAGGAGCATCTTCAACTCTCCAACGAAGAGGCGTTCTTCCTTGCCTACTCGCTTGGAGCATTGCAAATTTACGATTCACACTTGAAATCAGGAGAGATCCAATCAACCTCGCCAACCACCACCGCTGCTCTCCTTCAACAGTTCTGCCACCACTCCTTCCAACCTGCCCGTGACGCCTCCGCATCCCTCCAACCAGATGATCCCTTCATGATCTCTTACACAGTCTACCACCACTTCCGGTCCCTCGGGTGGGTTATCCGCTCCGGTGTCAAATTCGGAACAGATTACCTGCTTTACAATCGCGGACCAGTCTTCTCCCACGCCGAGTTCGCAGTCGTCATCATTCCTTCCTACAGCCACCCTTACTGGTCCGAGACAGAAGAACGGAAGAACTACACAGCAGAAAAGCAGGCGAGGAGTTGGTGGTGGATGCACTGTGTTAGCCGTGTGCAGGCCCAGGTGTTGAAGAGCTTGGTCGTCTGCTATGTGGAAGTGCCTCCACCAGCTGCTTCACTCGATGATATTGGGGCGCTGTTTGGCCAATACAAAGTGCGCGAGTTCCTCATCAAGAGATGGATTCCAAACCGCACCCGTGATTGATTGCCTTGCTTTCTTTTGGGTCCCCTCAAGGCGGGGAACGTTAAGGGCTTCAGATACCCTCTCTGTAATTAATGTTGCATTGTCTCGGATAGTTGTACAAATGTATTATTACTGCATCATGAGCCATGAAATACACGTCTCATTTCCCTTTTTTCCAAGTCAATTAGTAAACTAGTTTGTAAATAATCAAAATGTCAACACTGCCAAATCATCCATGGACGCCGGGCGTAGAACGCTGTTGAATGTGGCTGCTCTCATGGCGCTAGGCCATAAGAGGTAATATTACTTCGGACACGTGACACGCGTTTCGCGTTCTAACGCCTGCATCTACCTTTTTGTCTAGACTCAAGGCATTTGAAGTATCAGACTGTGTTAGAACGAACTTTACAAAGATTACTGTTGCTATCAGGACGTGCAAGACTTTAACGACTGTATGTAGTCGAAAAATGGAGACCCAGGACGATAGCATCGACCTCGCAAAGTTGCAACGCGACGCGTTGGGGCTAGTATGTAACGACCCTGCAGCGTCCCTCGCCCTCATTGGACTAACTCTTGACATCCCCAGGAGCACGATCCATCTCAGCCGTACCTTTCAAGATCTGCAAAAATAGGTAACAAGCCGAATCACACACTTTGTTACACATACCACACAGTCGACAGTGCTTCCAATGGTGACGGAGTGTGCACCGGCCAACACCCTCCGAAAACACCATTGAACCCCGCGAGCCTTCTGCACCAGCACCAACCCCCTCTGTCTCGACCTCGGCAACATGAACCACGCCCAATAATGTCTAGTAAGGGTGGCAATGAACCGGGAATTGTACCAGGATCGCAATTCGGCAACATGAGCTCCGCAGAGGCTCCTGGGGATACCCAGGTCGTCTCGCAGTCAGTGTACGACAGTATTATCAGACAAAATGGAGAGTCTATGCAACAAGGTTATTCACAAACAGGGGCCGATGGAGCGACATTGAGGACGTTGAACGAGGGCGACAGCGGCCATATCGACCTCCTTTCCGAATTGGACGCGGCGCACCACGGAACGAAGCTCTCCCAAGACGATGATGATAACGACGACGAGAGCACATTCGATCCAAACGAGTCTTCTCCGATGGGCTATGCACCGGATCTCTTCCCCGAATCGCAACGCTTCCTAGCAGAAACACCCGGAACGGCAATGAAAAAGAATGAGGCAAAGGGTGGGGCGATGGAGACCCCGAGCATCTCGCGGAATCCCCTGGCTAGTGGCATCGAGTCAAGTGGCGGTCTTCTTGGTCTGAGCCAGGTTTTCGGGGCTACCCAGGTCCCGTCGTCTCCAATTGTCCACGGCCTGCAGACGGAGCTTGTATCGGATCGTCCGTCGCCCAATATCCCGATTCAACCCGCTCGTGTTATCAATGGTATTTCGTCGCCGTTGATGGGCTTGCCGGTTCAGTTCGTGAGGGAATCATCCGAACCGAACATGAACTATATATCGATGAAGGAATCGCAGACAAAGCGCGATAGGACTTTAGGGGAGAGGTTGACTCGATCGGCCGACAATATCCAGTCGGATCAGAGTGACAAAGAATTCTATAAAGAGTCGAGCTTTATAGAGCGTGCACGACGACAGCGAGAAATCGACGAGGAAGCCGCGGCTCAGTTCGCGGGGCTGAGTGCTCCTGCCAGACCTACATCCAATCTCTCCGCTAGACTACGGACTTCTCCCAAGCAGGCAGGTGAACGCCAAGACCAGGAAATGATAGAAGCTGTTGCCAGTGAGGAAGAAACCGAACAAGAAGAAGATATGCAAGTGCCCAGGTCACAAGAGCTTCCTCAATCTTCAGCCGAAGAAGACAAAGAGAATTATCACGGACCTCCTATGGATGCCGCTGCCGCCGCCGCTGCCACCAGTGCCCACGACCGGCTGTCTCAGGTACTTGGATTTGAGTCGGTCCCCTCCCCATCACACGTGGGAGTAGACGAGGAACTGAAGGATGGGATAGTTCACGGAGGCTCCTTCGGCTCCCACAATGGTGGCCAGCCGAACGGTCTTATGCGTTCTTCCCAGGCCATGGTGAAAGACTCTCAACCATCACCTCCATCATCACCAAAACCCACAGAAACCGACAATACTAGGAACATTACTCATCGCTCGCCTTCGCCTTCTCATGTGAATTCTCCCGCACGAGACCGTCTTCAGTTCTCCTCTCCCTGCTCGCGACCACGATCAAGACATTCGAACAACAATGCCCAGAGAAATGGCTCCGTCTCAAATGAGTCTGCCATTCACCCTGTTCAGAATGCATCCCTTAACGAGGATATACAAACACACTCTAGCAACCTCTCGGAGCAGCAATATATAAACTCGTCTCATTCCAGAGTGGAAGCGGGAACTGCGGGCAACTCATCATCGATGCCATCCCGTGTGGCTGAGACACCTATGAATCAACGTCTTAAGCATATCGGTGATATGGCTCGATTGACGAGTATCCCAGAGACAAGTCCCAGTCACTCCCAATGCAATTCCGAGGCGGAGTCCAATGGCGATGGACTGAACAACGAAGACGACGATCTTCCACCCATGTTTGGTGAAGTCCCCAGTATTCGAAATAATCATATCCGCCCAGCCGGGGCAAGGGCACTCTCTTCACCTCTAAAAAGACTGCTGTCAAGTCCAGGCGGAGGCCAGCGTAGGGCTTTGACTGAAATTGCGGCAGATCTTTCGCCGCAGGTTGGGACAGGAGGACTTGATATGGGAATTGGGATCTTTACAACTGAGGATCAAGAGTTCAGAGCCTTGATCGATGGATCACCGACTCGACCGAAGAAGAAGCGGCGTGGCAATAATGGCTCAAGTTACATCGCCTCTGACCCTATCATACCTCTCACCCCTCGCACACAGCCCCCAAAATCCGTTGCACCCATTCGGGCAACACAAGAACGACCAGCTGCTATTCCTGCGGATGCGGATGACGCGCCTTTGGTGCAACTCCCCGAGAAATCCGTGCGAAGGCAATCAAAACCCCCCCGACGAGCTCCCGAGAATGTTTGGGAAATCGAGGGATCGCCTGAACAACCCTTCCGCCGGAGATCAAGAATTGGCAAGACGGCTGTCTCGATGTCTACGCAAGACAAGCATGTTCCAGAAAAGAGCTCCAGACTTACCGCGAAATCAGCGTCCCCACCAAAGGTTATAGTTCATAAGCGACCACCACCTCCATCATCGGAACTCACTGAGGTTTCATCAACAATTGCCTCGGATGATATCATTGAGTCAGAGGCGAACAGTGTCGATGACTCCCCTACCACGCCTCGACCATCTCAGACTTTGTCGGAGAACACCGTGGTCGCTCCAAGTCAGGTCCTTTCTGTCTGGATGGGCCATAAACGGGCATACTACCCAGCGACATGCTTTGGAACACCACTGGGCGTATCGCAGGTTAAATACTCCGTGAAATTTGAGGACAGTCCTCCTGTCGAGGTGCCGAAGGGTGCCGTTAAGAGATTTGAGCTTCGTGTCGGAGACGCTGTCAAAATTGAGATGGATAATGTTCCAAAAGTCACTCATATCATCCGCGGATTCGATGACAAGCTCACTAGAGAACAGCTGGCTAAAGCCGCCGACGATGGCCTTTATCCCATAACCGACATTTACGGTCATACTACTGTCATAGTCGGTCCCAAGCAACGCAAAAGCCTGCCAAATGGTGGGATTGGCAACAGCGAGAATGTGATCAAAGTGCCTATTGCTCGTGTCTATCTTGATACTATCCTGTGGAATCAACTCAAAGATCGGATGTTCACATATCGCCCGGCACCTGTTCAACAAGAGAGCACGGTCCATACCCCATCCGAAAGGTCATCAGCGCCTGCTTCTCCCAGTTCTCGCTTGTCCCGCAGCATTCACCAAGGCAGTGGGATTTTCGCCGGGATGGTATTTGCCGTCTCTTACAAGGAGGACGAAGCATCTAAAAATCGTGTGACCAGGCTGATAATTGAGAATGGCGGCACTGTATTACATGATGGATTTACTGAATTGTTCGAGGCTTCGTCAATTGTTCCTGTTGATACTCCCACCAAAGGTGGAGCCAACGATTCAGACCTCAACAACAAGGGTCTCCGTCTTACAGCTCTTGCTGATGAAGTTGGCTTTGCCTGCTTAATTGCCGATACCCATTCTCGGCGAGAAAAATACATGCAAGCGCTGGCATTGAACCTCCCATGTCTGGCCGGGCGGTGGGTAGAGGACTGTATCGCCCAGGGTCGCGTCCTCGACTGGGACATTTACCTCCTTCCAGCCGGAGACTCAATGTATCTCAACGGAGCGACAAAATCCAGAGTCATGGCTCCCAACCCTCCATCCACAGCCCGCCTCTCTAAAACCATCTCCGCACGAACAAAGTTGCTCGCAGGGCAATCAGTGCTCCTTGTCATGGGCCGTGGAAAGGTAGAGGAAAAGAGGAAAGCCTACATCTTTCTGACTTACGCCCTAGGGGCTTCCCGGGTTGAGCGTGTCCCTGATCTCGGCACGGCCAGGGCGTTGATAGACTCACAGTCTGATGCTGGTCTGTCGACTAACTGGGACTGGATCTATGTTGATGATGCAGATCAAGCTGCTGCAAAGTCGATGTTGACACCCAACCCGAAGATGCAGAGAATTCACTTGTTCCATGGGAAGAAGCGTAAGTCGATTGCGTCGTCCACTCCTACGCCGCCTAATGAGCTGAAATGCACTGCGAGGGTTGTTGGTAATGAGTTTGTTTGTCAGAGTTTGATTTTAGGGCGCTTGTTTGAGGAGTGATCTCTTGTGCCAGTTCTTGATACCAATGTCATCTATCATATTTATTCTTTAATGGATCTATTCGGACTCCCGTTTCCCTATCATGAGATTACTACTCCAGACGCTGCTAGCTAGTGTAGCCATGTCATGCTTCTAAATAGGAATATTGGCTTTGAATTCATTGTGGCCTGTACCCGAAGGACTGTTTACCAAGTACACTGAATCTATGTCTACCCCTATCTCCTAAAGTTACGATGCCTAAATATAAATATCAGATCTCATACAGTGCAATGGAATATTAGAAACGTGCGGACTGTTTGCTCCTTCCAAAATTTACTGAATGATTCTTTGTCTGGCTTTCACCTAAGATCTAGTATATATCTACTTGTTTTAGCATGTAGAGTGGTTTCCCTTCTCATTCTTCATACCCCCAGTGCGGTTATGGCTATGAAGAAGTTTAGGATATCCCTACGACAATTGCATATCATCATGTTGCTCCAGCTCACCTCTTTATGCATCATGTTTATCTTACATGGTCTTCTCATGATTTAAGACAAAACCTCCTTCAACTCTCCTTTCTTAAATGAATTTCCCTCCTTTTCAAGTTGCTGCAAACTATATAAGGCATCATGTGTCTGATCATCACAAAGTGGTTGGACCCGCTGGTTTATCTCCAGATGATCCCCATTCGAAACAGCATATTTAGCAGTGTCCACACTGGCAACGTGAGATCACCTCAATAGAAGCCTTGCGCTAATTCAATTCTTTGTCTTATTTCCTTCTTTCGATTACTTATCTTTTCAACAAGTTGAGTCAAAACACACACTTCTTATCAGCCATACCTTCATCTTCCACTCTTTCATCACAACTCCTTCTCTCGGATTTTATAGTCAAAACGGTAAGATCTCAATACCAGATCGCCAGCTACCTCAGAAATGCAAAAGTGACTAACAGCAAGAAGAAAAGCCCCACGTTAGAGAGCACCACAACTCCCGCAATGACGATCTAAATACTCTATTACACCTACGCGAGCGAGCAACGCAGAGTCTAGAGTTCAAACACCGAATTTCTCTCGACTCTCTTTACTACTAAAGCTCGGCTCTAAGACAGCTTATTCCGTAGGTCAGGTCCTCGATCTATTATCTAGAGTCACGGGCCGTTTGCTTATACTATTATATACGAAGGTAGCCTTTCGATATAGGAGGATATACCTCTTCTATATAGGATATAGTAGTCTATAGGTGTGATTTCTTCTAAGATTGTTTATAGTAGATAACGGTTAGATATAGACCTCAAACCCGCCCGCAGACCCGCACTTTTGCGGGCGGAGGGCGGGCTATTTTCTAACATTTTGAGGGCCGACAAACATGACAAACCTGGAAATCTGCTTAGATGTATAAAGTATGCAGGTTTCGGCGGTATTATTCAGTGTTCGGTTTACAGCTTACTAGTATAAAAATTAAGAAAGTATTTGCTGCCAGGAGAGAATCACTTTAATAAGTAAAATATCTTCTATTTTAAACAAGTATCAAAGCGGACCTAGGTCGGGTTTTTATGCGCAAAACTCCTCATTAAGATTCCAGATAACCAGTAAGTTCAGGCACGTCCTCTTCAGGCAGATCAAAAGAGTCAGAAGCGAGATCCGAAAGAGCGTCTCCGTAGAGAGACACGTCTACAAAGACGTCATCCATATCTTCACTCCCATCCACTTTATTACTCGCAGTGCAGCTCTCTTCCACCAAATTCGCGCACTTAAAAAAAAAGTCATTACTTAGAAAGTATACACATTGCCTATTATGATCATCCCGGCAATCACGGTATAAAGGGTGTATACTATCGTGCAGGGGGCAATGTTCGGGAGCACAGGTGTATAGATGTACGTTATCCAGGCCAGGCTACCGAGCAGGGGAAGGTCCCAGGGCTACGTATCCCAGGCCGCGAGCGGTGGATGGACGAAAGCAATAGACCAGAATGGCGGCGTAGATCTGGTTCATGGTGAATTCGGGCACTTCGTAGACATTCCCGTAGAGGTCGATATGTTTGGGACCTGGGTCTCCCTAGCTGGCGGCTGTCATGTTGCCAGATTAATTTGGGTCCGGAAGCAGAGGTAGATAGACAGAGAAGGTTAGTTGATCCAATGATACTGTCACCAGGAGAGGTTCTCCTTGACCTTCCTCTATGATATCTATGCCCGGTTAGTATACGTGGAACCAGATGAACCACCTTTATCTCGCCCAACCCACCGATATCCTAAAATCACATATCTACATATCTGTATTTAACCTTCGGAGTTAGGCTAGGGCCGGCCAACGCGTATCTCCCCGTTCCGTACGGAAAGATTCACATTGCTAACGCATGGGCCTCGCTAAACCATTCCTCACTACGCTGATATCCAGCACTAAAGATAGTAACGATAGCGAAGGATGATGTGATTGACTTGGCCAGACTCTACGACTATCGAGATGCGCCGTCAGCAGCGGAGTGCTTCGGGCATAATTCATAGATACAATTAACCAGCTCTAACAGGCCTAGCTAATAAAACACCGCAGCTAGTTTTAGTTCTCGGACAAGACAAACATCAGTGGCTGTTCCAGGCTCCTCTTGACAGGTGGGTGCGATACAGCATGCTATTGGCTCATCCATGGCAACCCTCTGCTATAACCAGTTTGTTTAAAAGGAGTACCGAATATCCAGTGCAGGCCCCTTTGAGAATTTAGAGATAATTTAGAGACAGGCCATAATTAACGTGTTGGCAGCCTGCGACCTTCACCACCGGGCCGGACCATTGGGTTTCACAGCTGACGAAAGGAAACAGGCCATTGGCCAAACAGCCCATTAACAGTCAACGCAACTAGTATCTACGTCTGTGCGGGCAGCATGGAGATATTATTGGGTGGTGGGAGGCTCCTACGGCTCGCTAATGCAGCCTCCCGACAGGGGGGGTGCTTAACCCCGAACGCCGGGGCAATCATGGAATTTTCCTTTGGTTTATTAGGGCTACCGCAATTTAAGGACATACAAGTTGGCCAGTGGCTGCAGCTGTCTTACACACTGCCCAGAAGTTAAAGTAACTTTGGAATGTAATATAAGCAAGTCAGAACTTAGTATAAGACAACGGGTCGGTATACTCCGCCGATAACTCCGTTAGAGTGATCGGATTAGTTGGATAATTAACTCTATCACTGTTCAGACATCTTCGGAAACTGAGGCAGTGAGATATTTCTTCACTGATGGCACATCGCGTAAAGGCGTCGTGCAAGGGGTATAATAGCAGCCAACCGCCAGCTCGACAAGGGACTCGTAAAGATAAGGATGGACATCCCCCGGGCCTTATTGGGCCCCTGCAACAATTATTAACTGAAATTGTGTAAATGCGTCATGCAAGCAGGGGTATAATTCCAGCCAAGGCTGTCAAAGGCAGATACTTAAAGGACTCTGGCACCGCGTAGATTTTGAGCTCAGGTCCTGCACAGATGCACAGGGAAATGATTAACCCCAAGCAGTCATGACTGATACTGGCACTATACGTTCTTCACAACCATCCGTGGGCAAACAGTCAGCATGTGATCGCTGTCGGACGCAGAAGATCGGCTGCATGCGCGTCAATGGAGATCCCACCGACGCCTGCTTGCGGTGTGTGCGCTCCCAAGTTGAATGTGTTACCAGTTCGTCCCGGAAGCCTGGCCGGCCCACAAAGGCTGCCGCTGCTGCAAGTATGAGAAGCGCGGGGGGGTCTCCTCAGCGTAATGATTATGCTCCATTAGGCGCCCTGGACATGGATGTGGGCGACACATTCGACTTCGACGCCCTGGACATGCCTTACGAGATCCCGTCTAGCTTTTGGGGGTCGAGGGATATCGCAAACCTCTACCCTGACGACTACTTCCCCGATTCAGGTATAGGCGACGACTGCTCACCTAACACGCCTGCCCTTGAGCTCTCCCCCTCCGACAACGCCGGCCCGCTGCACAAATACCGCATGCAACTGGCATACGTACACCAGACCCTATATAAACAGCTGTTTCACCTCCAATCCAGTCATTGCGACCTTGCCGAGGTACTGCGCGTCACCTATGTTCATCACCATATGAAGTCTTTCGAGTCCCCCACCAGTCGCTCCCGCTCCCCCTCCAACCCCCTCGCCACCGTCGCAACCATAGCTGCTGAATTTGTCGACACGTTATCCGCGCTTGTGCCGCCGGCTCTCGATCCGCACGACAACCCCCACCATTCATCACACCCTAACCCTCACTTAAGCAGCCCCGACCTCCTCATCATCCTCTCCTCTTACATCCTTCTCATTCATATCTACGACTACATTCTTGCGCAGCTCCTGGCCCAGGTAACAACCAACCCCGCGGCCCTGGATACAGCCCTGCAGTCTGCCCCGGTGCTCTCCCTCGGCGGGCTAGCTGTCCCACCCGCCCGGCATCTCCCGGCTCATTTGTTGCTGGTGTTGTTCAACAACCAGATCCTGCCCATTCAGGCTTTTCTCGGGCTGCCTGACTCTCTTCGGGTTTCAGATGTCAAGGAGGTGGGTGGGAGATTTGGGCAGGGCCAGACGGGTGGGCTCTTCAGCGGGGCAGGGGGGCAGGCTCTTTGCATGGCCTTGGTGCAGGTCGAGATAGAGCAGGCTGTTGGTGGGACAGGTGGTTTGGGCATTATTGCCGCGTTGAGGGAGAAGAGAGCGAGGGTTCTAGAGTTGTAGTTCCTTGATAGACGCGTTGGTAGTAAACAATTAGAACAATTCAATACCATCTCCTAGGACAATCTTGACCTCATCAACGGCGTCCGAGCCGCCGGAGAATGTCACACTCGAGGAGGAGTTCACGGCCGCAACCACCACACGTCCCTTCAAGGTCTCGTCCTCGCACAGCGCCCTGGCGTCTTTTTCGGACAAGCCGGCCGCCAGCATCGCTCCCTTCATGGCGTTCGGATTGGCACAGAGCACTTGTGAGAGGATGTGGCCACGGAAGTAGGCGACACAGATGGCGTCTCGGGCCGTTAGGTAGCCAGTGGCGTACGCGGCGGCAATCTCGCCGGACGAGCGGCCGACGACAGCGTCAGACTGGACTCCTGCAAGACATACGAGGTCAACGAGCAGAATCTGGACAGCGGTCGACAGTGACGAGAATGCGCCCTGCACCACGGGACGACTGTGCCGCGGCGAGGAGTTCCGTCTCCAACGACCAGTCAGGTCGCAGCTCCTCGGACAGTTCGTCAAGGTGGGCTTGGAGCTGGCGGATGATACCCCTTGCCGTGCAGGATTTCTCAATCAGCTCCGTGGCCATGCGAGGGTATTGCGCTCCTTGACCGGTGAAGACGGCTAGCACCTTTCGTCAATTGCCAGCGGACGGGGTTGAAAATCTCACACCCAGCTCCTCACGATTTGTGCTTTCAGCTCTGCCAGGATCTTTGATGCGAGATCGCTGGCGGACGCGCCCGCAAATGCAACGCGGTAGGGGAACGCCAAGCGGCGGCTTTGCAGAGTGTGGGTCAGGTCCGTTGGTGAGATTCAAGGGTTCATCTCGAGGTATTCAGCATGAGCTCCCAGACTCGCGGCCAGCGATTGGCGAGAGTGGGCAGAAAAGGCAAAGGGGGAGACGGCGGGGGGTTCAGCATCGGACGAGGACTGCACGCTACGACCAGACTCGTAGCTTCCGAGGATGGCATGGGCGTTGGCACCTGCAAACCCAAATCTGTTGATACTGGCTCGGCACGGCTGGCCAGTGGATAGTGCTGGCCATGGCTTGGGCGTCTACATGATCTGCAAGTTCTTTGTGAAGGGTGCATGTCAGGGTTAGCTTCAGTACTTGCCTCTAGACGTCGACTCTCCTGACTCAGTCGACAAGGCCTTCACTGCTACCGCGGCCCACTTCGGCTCTAGCTTCACCCGCGATGTGGTCATCAACAACGCCGGCTACTCGCTGGCCGGCGAGATCGAGTCCGTGACTGAGAAGGAGATGCACGACCAGCTCGAAACCAACTTCTTCGGCCTCGTACGCGTTATTCTCGCAGGTCTCAAGATTATGCGCGAGTCCGATGGCCGCGGTAGCTTGATCTTTAACATCCCGTCTCTCGCCGGCGTCTGCAGCTTCCCCGGCCAATCCTTCTATCACGCCAGCAAGTGGGCTGTAGAGGGCTGGACCGAGTCCGTTGCCAGGGAAGTGCACCCGGACTGGAACAGTACGTATTGTCTGCTGCGTTGCTGCTTATCTGACCGTCTAGGGAAGTTACGCTAACATGCCTTCTGTTCCAGTTCACTTCTGTCTCGTCGAGCTTGGCTCCGTGACGACTAACTTTGAACCATCCAGCAAGAAGCACACCGCCAGTCACCCGGCTTACGCGGATCCCTCGATGCCCTCACGCATGCTCGAGGCCTTCGTCGAGCAGAGCCTAGCGTCTGGCGGGGCCGTCGAGGCCGCCGACCTCGCCAAGCTGCTCTTCCACGTCGCCAGTTGCGGCGAGAAGGTCCCGATCTACTTGCCTGTTAGCACCACCGCCACGTACTTGATTACGATGGCGCTGAAGGCGCGGCTGGAAGTTGTGGACGCGGTGAAGCATCTCAGTGCTGTGGACAAGGATGCTGCCTAGTTTGACCTGGATGGGGTGTCTAAGTAGGGTGGTCCCTTCCCATGGGTGCATCCAGAGGGAGAGGGATCCCTTACCGGTGGACTTACCTGCTAAGCTGCAGGCGGTTAGCCAGTGAATCAAGGTGCAAAGGTAGGTGCAGACCTAAACATACTCATGTCCGGTGTTCTTGATAACCAGCCGGACATTGTTCCCCTGGGCAAACTCTATTCCCACAACGACATGGCTGGCCCTACTAACGTTGAGAGAATAGCTGGCGTAGTTGCCCAGAAGACATGGTTGATTCTGCGCTGTGAAGGGGTCACAGCTCTAGTTCTGGAAGTAAGGGCCCATGGCCTCGGCCGGGGCATATAGGCTGGTGGGGTTAGAATATGGTAATAGTTCAGCAGGGTGACGGTAACTCACGAAGTAGTACTGAGAGTCCACTCGTCTTGAATGGCTGTACAGGCATCCGCGTCGTAGGCGCCGATCGGCCCATTGTGGAGGACATTTGGCGGCGCAAGAGTAGCAATGACAGGCCCGTTGACGGTATTGTTCAACTCCCTCCATTTCGCCGCGGACGGTCACTCCTTATCGCCCGGCACTGGCTTGCAAGAGGGCCCTGCATACGCACGGGTCAGAAATAGTGGAAACGAAGCGAGAGCCCAGGTGAAGCGAGCCATTGCTGAGATGGAACGCGATGTTGCGCTGAGGATGATATCCGACGTATATCTTTGTCCATCACCTTATATATTAATGTCAGTAACTGCGTTTGCAATGGCCCATGCTTTTTGGAGATGAATTTGAGGCCATATGAAAATGCCGATCCTAAAGAATCCTTTCCAGTGACCTTGTACACGGAGAAGCCCATATTACCCGAACGGAAATTACCCATTGGTGCCTGCTGTACTAAAGTGTTGGAAAGTGAGCCCGGTGCCCAGAAGGCGCAGTGTATGTAATTTCCGAGCGTTGGGAAGGTCTATGAATGGCGCTGTTTTGTGCTTACCGAGTGATGGAACGATCTCAACGAACGCTTGATCATTTTTGCTTCACAAATTTGAGCATTAAATCCAGAGTAAAACGGTTCGTCGACACTAAATGGCTGTCAAATCAATGCTTCGGCTTCCATAACCAGGGGAAGGATCCATTGTCCGGGTTTTCCGGGCTGTAGAGAACTCGTGTCTACTGAGAAAGAAGATGAAGACGATGCGCTGCTCCCGGGGGTGTTGAAGTGAGTGGCCATCTTGTGGTCATTTGGGTTCAGCCATCACCTTAGCACTTCGTGCTCGGACCGTACTTTGGGAACAGGGGCTGATATCGGAGGAGCTTAGGGTCTGCACAATGGCTATCTGGGTTGTTCGTGGTGGAATTGTGCTTGGTAGAGCGCATCTATTGATTGGTCTCTTGCAGTAGATCAGGTAACTTACAACCAGATCCTAATAAAGGCCCACACTGGAGCTCCGATCCTTCAATCAGTCGGTCTGTCGGAGGGAAAAAGGTGAGCCGGCCGACTGGAATCGGCCATTATTAGGATTACTCCCAAACGATCGGCACAATATGGACAGCGTTAATACGGATTCAGTGCGAACAACCTTAGCCCGATCAACGAAAGATTTAGACCTAGCGTTCAAAACAATGGACATCGAGACGTCGACACTACGCGACTGCTCGTTGCAGCTGTGATATTCCTTACCGTGGCCACCATTGCCACACGGTGGGGTGGAAAGTACAATGCTAGCGAAACCCCCCTCGCTGGGAGGATCCGTGATTTCCAACACCTATCAGTACATGACGGACATGCATGGCTTCCTACGGAGAGACGCGTGAGCCACCCATCCTAGTCAGCCTATTTTTTACACAACTGATGGAGTGATTTTCGTAGTTCAGCCCGGCGCAAGAACAGAATCGTCAAATTCCAACTGGGCCCAAAGAAAATCTACATGGTCTCCGAAGAGAAGAACATCCAAACCATAAACAGGTCCTCGAACGGTATCAGCCCAGATGTCTTCTTCATCGACGTCTAGGGCGCGAACACCGAGGAGCTGGCCAGCTTTGCAGCGGATAAATCCGTCAAAGCAAGAATCCCATCCCAGGACACGAGGTCAATCCTGGGCAAGCACGACTCGGGCACGGGCAGCACCATGTCTACTCTCAATACCTTCAGCGAACGGACCATGCCAATGCGCTGAGCGACAAATATATGGAACTGTTCAACCAGCGCCTTAGCAAGCAGCCTTTAGGGGAGTGGAGGAAGGTCCGTCTCTCCGACTTCTTTCGCAGGAAAATGGCCGAAGCTGCGTTGATTGCGCTGATGGGGTCTCGGGTTGTTGAGCTGAACCCGGACTTCTGGCCGGCGACGTGGGGATTCGCCCGTCTCGCACCGCAGCTCATGTGGGGGTTTGCCCCGATGGATGGGTCCCAAGCCATGGGAGATCCAGGGTGAGTTCCACGGAATGTGTCGGCGATACCTTGATGCAGGTGATAGAGAGTTCGACTGGAATGGCCCCGACGTCGATACCGAGTGGGAACCCTTTATGGGTCTAGGATGGCTCGGGAGTCGACTTCTTGGGCGAAGAATGAATCTATCACCTGAGACTACGGCGGGCATGGTGGCGACGGTTGTATTCGGCACAAATGCCAACTCGGTGCCCATGTTACTGTGGGCGATGATGGAACTTATCGCAGATCCGGAACTATATCGGGCGGTGCGAGAAGAATGCCTGGCCGCAAGCTCAGTGGACTTGGTTTCTAGAGAGCGAATATTCGACCCCCGGAGCTTGCTTTCAAAGCCGCTATTGCAATCAGTCTACATTGAAACCCTCCACCTGCATATATCGATCAACGTTACTCCGCGAGGTCACCCAGCCTATCGACCTTGATGGTCATCTTTTGCCCCCCGGGTCTCTCATTCAAGCTCCGAGCCAGATTGGACAGTACAACGAAGCTGTCTGGGGCACTCCTGAGCATCCTGCATCGCAGTTTTGGGCTGGTCGCCATCTAAAGCATGATGGCGGTAAGACCCAATTCACGATGACTGGTAAAACGTCTTCCTTTTTCCCTTTCGGTACGTATCTACTGCGCGTCTTATATGATTGCTATTTTGTTGACAAGTTTTCTACAGGTGGAGGGCCTTCAATCTGCCCCGGGCGGGTGTTCGCTAAGCAAGAAATCCTAATGACTATCGCCGCACTGGTAACCAGATTTGAGATAGAGATGATTGACTGGGTGCATCCAAACGGATCCAAGTCCGACCGGCCGCCTCAGAATGATCAGTCGCATATCGGAGCCGTTGGGATCCCACCAGACCGGGACATGAAGATCCGATGGATGAGGCTGTGGTAGAGAGCAAAGTGAAATGGCATATATGAAATCATTTCCGGACATATAGCTTTAGTGAGCCGCTGCGTAACAACTTTTGTTTCTATTGTTGGCCCACGAATGCTTGTTACATCAGCTTAGCGATCTGTGCCTAGTGGTGCCCACGTATCAAATAGAACTAGTATTGGATTGGAGAAATAGAGATTATCATTGCTAAGAGCTACCTTGCTCTACAGACATGAAGCTCAATAAGGTTTACAACGCCGCTCAAACATTGAACTGTGCGTGATCAGCGTCGAGAGCGCTCAGCGCGCGCCGTGGGTCTCAAGATCCCGAAGCTGTCCCTGCAACTTCGCCGTGATGAGCTTCATAGCCGTGACGCTGAGAGGCAAACGCAGTGGAACATTTTCATTTCGACTGGCCACCTTGTACAGGACATTGGCAACAGCACTGGGCTCAAAGCCGACGCCGGACGCGAGCCCCTTCTTCACGAACATCTCAAGCTGTCGGGCGGGCATATCATCGGCCGAATATGCTGGATGGGGCTCGATGTGTTTCTTGCTGGAGGTTTCGAAATTCGTGTTAACGGCACTGGGTTCGACGATACAAAAGTGAACTAGGAACATCGAATACATATCAGTCATCACTCAGGTCTATACAAGGTGAAAGGTGACTTACTGTTCCAGTCCGGATGCATCTCGCGAGCGACAGACTCACTCCATCCTTCGACGGCGTGCTTGCTGGCGTGGTAGAACGCACGGCCGGGGAAGGCGCAAATGCCCGCCAGCGATGAAATATTGAAAATCAGGCCGCCGCGGCGAGACTCAGATTGACGCATCACCTCAACGGCTTTCAAGGCGACACGGACGGTACCAAAGAAGTTAACTTCAAATTCGTCGTGCATCTCATGCTCTGTGACGGATTCAGTATCGCCCGAAAGCGAATAGCCTGCATTGTTCACCACGACATCGATGTAGTAACTGTCTCCAAAGTGCGCGGCGGTCGCCTCGAAGGCTGCATCGACCGCCGATGGTTGCGTAACATCCAGAGCAAGCTTTAGGATGGCCGGGTTATCGTCACCGAGGTACGAAAGACTAGCTATATCTCTAGCAGTTGCGATCAAACGCTGACCTGGCACGGAGGCGACATGAGTCGCCATAGCACGGCCGATGCCAGTCGAGCACGCGGTAACTGTATCAAAAACAGCGGAGTCAGATTTTCTAGCTCAAGTCTACTTGAGGATAATATATTGTCCGCTTACCAACCCAGGTGGCGTCAGCTGGGAGCTGGTAGGGTTTCGTGTTGACGGGATTCATATTGTAGCCGCAATGATGTGATGTACTTTACTATTTCCTAGCTTTGTATCCGCGAATTGTCTCTTCGCGGTGTTGTTGATGAGAATTACTTTTTATTTTAATCTTCCACGCAGTATCGGCAATTGTGCTGTCGGAGGTTTCGGGCCTGCCATTCGGGACTTTTTGAATGAAATTCGGCCATTGTTTTGAGCTTTCGTAAATTCGTTCGGTGTTTTTACAATGCAATAATTAATGAATTAATGAGGTAGCTCAATTTGCTAATTCAGGTTCATAATTCCTATTCTTCACGGCTAACTATTAGATGTATCGTCCTTCATGAAGAAGCAGATTCAAAGGTGAGTCCTCACCCGTAAAACTTGAATATCCACTACCCGGCCTTTTAAGACAGGTACTTTATTTATTCTTATTATAGTATACTAATTTGGCAAATTAGAAAGAATAAAGCAAGACTGTATTGGAGATTAATACCGCGTTTCGATAGTAGGATGTCACACTTTAAGTAGGTAAGCCTATTTGTATTAAAACTAATCAATCACTAATTTCTCACCTAGAGCTAGCTTGCAATTAGTTTATACGTAGAGAAAATTTAGATAGAGATAGTGTAAAAAGAGGAAGAGAGTAGAAGAAATAGAGTAATAAAGAGAAAACGAAGAAACCCTTCTTTAGATAGTATCTTATATATATTTACTCTTCTTTCGCCGGTTAAGTATTATTTTATTAAGCGAAGTAGCTACTAAAAGGGCGCGCTATCGCCCGTCTAATATATATATATATATAGCTCCCCTAGCGCTAAGAGACCTTCTATAGCTAATAGTCTGCGCCAAAACCCACTGGTGGGTTGGGTTTTGGGTTTCGTGGGTTTTGGAGCAGCCTACTCGTGACTAGGCGTCGTTGCTACTTACTTACACTTAATAGTGATGGCTCTACCTGAAAAATGCGAAGATGTCTCTATGCATCGCATCAACCGCTGGTCCGAACGAAGCCTCAGAGCTTCTTCCGACCAGGGCCAAACTTTACAAGACATGTCGAAGCTACACAATCGGCAGAATTGGAGCAGAGCGGCCATTCAGTTCAAGCTCGTATCGTGTCTCACAGCCGGGAAGTTTTTCGTTGCTGATGAGGCGGGTGTACACGGGCGAATTGAACAGAACATGGGACAAGTCCTTGGGGCATCCTCCCGTTCTCTGAACTGCTTCCTTTGATTGCCAGGGAGTTACCGGGCCATGCGCAATATTCACACATCTCATTTTGGATATCTATCAATTCTCGAGGGAAGCCAATACAACATTATTCAAACAAAACTTGAGTAATCAGCGATTCATACTAGGGGTAATCCTTATGCTGTCAGATAGCCCCTCGGTAGCGCGCAGACGCCCGGGGATACCTGGCTAACGGGAGGTATCGTGCGTGTCTCCAGTTGCCGGTTCTTTGCCTTTAGGTTCCAATTGTGTACTCGGCTCCACAGCCGAAACGTGATCAGCAGTAGATATAGGCTCTGGCACGTTTGACCTATGTGTATCGTGGGTAATTTCGTTGGATAATCCAGCATCTCCGGTTTCTCCCTCGGTATCTAGCTCAATGGCTGGTTTACTTTCAGCAGCTGGCGTTGTGGCCTGAGCATCTCGCTCGTGGGATACACTGTGAAGATCCCTGGTGACTAATTCTGCAGTTCCGGGTGTCTGCTCTGCGCTTGACTCGACAGCAGCTAGCTGATTAGCAGGAGGCGCCAACCCCCGTGAGTGCCCGTCGGAGGGCGGCACAGGAGCCTGGGGATTTTGTTCTCGCGACTGCTCGGTGCCCTCTGTGGCTGGTTCCGCGGGTCCTTCGATACGGAAGAACTCCCCATTCAAAACCTCGATGAGGACTCCTGCTTCGGGTGGTGGTGGAATCGATCCGCTCAACAGCTCCTTTGCTCGAATTTTCCGCCCATACAGCTGCTTGTTCGCATCCGCACGCTCGGCAAGAACACCACCTTCGACTGTGAGACCGCCGTATAATCCACGGGTCTTGGAGTAGGCGAAGACCCCAGCTGCGCCCTTGGTTCCCACTACTCCTCCAGCCTCAGCACTCCGACCAATGGGGCCGACAGCCATAGATATATTCCCACCAAGAGTCAAGTTGCCCGACTGCATGAATGTCTTCACTGCGGCATCGGTAGTCAGAACGAACACGAAATCGGTCAATTCTGCGCCAAATTGACCACCGGCACCTAGGCCGCCCATTGCCATGGCTGACGGGGCGGACCAGCTGCCATCTGGGAGACGAGCGACAATCAGTCCCGAGCCAAAGCGGATAGAGCCCAGGAACCCAACTCTGAACGCTGTGAATATGGCGATTCCCTGGCATAGAGTAAGTTATAATCGCTTAGGCTGCTTCATGCAGGATATCTCTTACCTTGGCCCCCGCGAATATCTTACGTGGGATTTCGCCATCGATTTTGAGTTTCGGGTTGATGAAGGATTCGAGAATCGCAGCGGCCTTTTTGCACTCACCTGTGGAACACGGTCAGCTCGGAGTCAGCCATGTGGGGTAGCAGTAGCACGGGGGATAATACTTGATAGTGAGGCAGGCAACGGGTTGTGCAACGGGTTCTTCATGGCAGATTCTCTCCCGCTGATGCGGTTTGTAACAAGATCTACGTCTAGTAGAGTCAGGTATGGCCTCCAATATCCAGAGCAGGCTCGACAAACGCGAATGAGAGAAATAAATGATACCAAGCCGCCTTCTGGAATCTACGAAAATTCGAGTGATAGTTGTTCTTACAGAAGTCGTATAATCAGGGGGTTAGCGTCTTACTTAGGCTTGCGCACGGACGTTTCACGGGGTTTGTATACTTCGCGATTGGAACAGAAATGGACGTGAAGGTTCATCGGATTTTCAAATAATGCTATGCATAAATTCCATTTTGAAACTCTCCTATATCTGGTAAAAACGTTAGTTATGTTGCACTGAGTCGATTCGGACGAAACTGCTAAGTATTCAGATTTGCAGTATATATGTCATTTTACTTCGCCGACAATTAATGACCCTTAAAACGTAGTCATTGGTCTAGAATGAATCCCAATGTTCGTGAGCAGCTTGACGAATTGATTCGCTCGGCCTAAAACAATCCAGTCACCCTGGTAGATGACCGAGGCATGATTTACGCAAGTTACAGATTAATTCCGCGTGTCGAAAGCAGGTACGGAGTAGCGGGGGAATATAATATTCTCGGAGGGATCATTTCATTTCCATCTACGGAGTACCCATGTAATGTAACGTTGAAGTTGAGCCGAATCAGAAACAAAGTTCGTCCATCACATCCATGCATCCCATCCATGGATAGGGCTGGCGGGCCGCGGTTATGCTTAATTTTGAGGCAGCTGCCCAGCACATTCTCAGAACTGGAACATCTTCGGGGATAATCTCACATGCACTTTAGTGCAACAATTGCAATAGTCCGGTTGAGACTTGTACATATCGGGTCTGTTTCGCTGTAACATGCCTCTGGACGGCCGCATCTTGCCTCAAGTCTCCAGCGGTTGCACCATTATCACTGATGCTGTTCCAGACTACTCTAGTCCTCCTCATACTCCAGACGAGTATTGTGGCATCTGCGCCTTCGGAAGAGCCAGGAATTCCCCTCATTGACCGAAAATTCGATTATGTGGTCGTTGGTGGTGGTACCGCTGGCAGCGTGATTGCGACGCGACTAGCACAGAATGACTTCGACGTTGCGTTGATCGAAGCGGGGGCTTACTATGAGCTTGAGTCTGTGGCTGAGTTTCCTGCAGCTGCTGCGCTGTCGATGGGATCAGATCCTGCTTTCAGCTCACCGGTGGATTGGGGTTTCGTGACAAGAGATCAACCGGGTGCTAATAGGCGGGCGATTCATTTCACCCGGGGAAAGTGTCTTGGGGGATCGTAGGCGTCTCTTTCCAGATCTGGCATATCAGATAAAAACTGATTTTCTGCAGGTCAGCGTTGAATTTTATGGTCTATCAACGGTAACGCCCCATGAACACCGAACACTTGCGGCTCGATTAACCGGAATCATGCAGTCCGACCCGCGAGTCTATGGAACTATGGGCAACTACAGTCAATGACAGCAGTTACACATTCGATGAAGTGCTCCCATTCTACAAAAAGAGCGTCCAGTTCACGCCTCCAAACACCCACTATAGAGTTCAAAATGCCTCTGCGGACTATAATGTCGATGCCTACGACTCGGATGGTGGCCCATTGCAGGTGTCGTATGCTAACTTCGCTCAGCCTTTCTCGTCATGGATGAGGCTCGGTATGGAAGCTATTGGCATTCATCGAGTAGAGGACTTCAACCTGGGTGCTATAAAGGGAGCCCAGTATTGTGCGTCGACTATTAACGCATCCACCCAGCTCCGAAGCAGCTCCGAATCATCGTTCCTAAACAAGATCACGCCCGACTCACTGACGACCTATATAAATACCCTTGCCAAGAAGGTGATCTTTGATGAAAAAAAGAGAGCAACAGGAGTCCAAGTGAAAGGTTTGCTGGGCAATACCGTCACCCTTTCGGCATCGGAAGAGGTTATCATCTCCGCCGGTGCCTTTCAGTCCCCCCAGCTGCTCATGGTATCTGGCATTGGACCCCCTGACCAGTTAAAAGAGCATGGAATCAACATTATAGCCAATCGACCAGGAGTCGGTCAGAACATGTGGGATCACCCGTTCTTTGCTCCTTCGTACCGAGTGCGGGTGACAACATTCACTGAATTTGCTACTAACCTGCTGTACGCGGCTGGCCAAATTATCGAAGGATTAGTCGCCAAAAATGGATTTGTCACAAATCCAATCGCGGATTTCCTGGCCTGGGAGAAGATTCCGCGATTCTTGCGCTCGGCTTTCTCTGAGCAAACGCACCGTAAACTGGTCAGATTTCCATCCGACTGGCCTGAAGCGGAGGTGAGAGGAATATTGCCTCAGATAGAGAGAAAGATTGCTAACACGCGGGCTCATAGTACATGTCTGGCGCAGGGTATATCGGCAACGTGTCAAATCTCCTGGCAAACCAGCCAAGAGATGGATACCAGTATGCCTCGATACTCGGTGTTCTGATCACACCCATGTCCCGAGGGAATGTCACTCTGAAGTCCGCAGATACCTCAGATCTGCCAGTGATCAATCCCAATTGGCTCGATGATAAGGCTGATCAGGAAGTTGTCGTTGCCATGTTCAAGCGAATACGTCAGGCTTTCCAGAGTGAAGCTATGAAGCCAGTGCTCATCGGCGAGGAGTATAACCCTGGGCCGCACATCCAGTCTGATGATCAGATCCTCGAGTTTATCAAGGATAATGTGATGACTCTGTGGCATCCGAGTTGTACTTGCAAGATGGGAACTTCCTATGATGAGATGGCGGTGGTTGACTCCCAAGCCCGGGTTTATGGAGTGGACAGATTGCGAGTAGTCGATGCTAGCGCATTTCCTTTTCTTCCTGCTGGTCATCCTCAGTCAACGGTTTGTATGTTTCTTCTCCGTTACTGCTTTGATTTACCAAGTGCTCACTCCATCACAGATATGCTTGCCGAGAAGATCGCGCTGGATATAATCCGGGGTTCCTAAGTGCCTTAATTTGGATTCAAAGGCGAAAGGGAGAAGGATCCCATGACTTTAGATACCTGTTTCTAAATTGATATTTAGATAATGAATAGCCCTGTTGTTTGGTCTCGGTCTTGTTGGGCTATGCTAACGCCAACTATGGGAGGCACACTTTATACGTCAGCATGCCATGGAATGAAACATGGGCTTGAATATGGCAATTGTGTGCCATTGTCTCTCTAAAAGAAAAAAGGAAAAAGGTAATACATGTGGGAAAGTTAATGGGTAAATGCTCTTTCTATAATACAGTGAACACCAGATACAAATCCTCATATCGCTACGGAAACCCAGAAGTTATTGGAACAAGACATTATGCACACTGAAAATGCCCTCATTTCTTGGCCGTCTTCTTCTTGCCCTTCAAACTCTTCAGCTGAGCAGCCCGCTCGGCTCTCTGCTGACGCTTCCTCCACGCCAACCAACGGTTACCACGATCATGTGGCATAGCAGTGATACCAGCCCTCTCGGCAGCCCGACCAATCTCCCAATTAGCCTCACGGTACATGTAACCGGGGCGCAGCTGGGGACCAGACTCAGCCTCGATAGCCTCGACATCCGTCACACGGACACCGCTGTCATCAACAGAAGCAAGGAGATCCGACTGAGCCTCGACGCGTTCTGCCATCGGCACAGGTGCCATATTCAGCTTGCGCCGGGTGGGCGCGTTGCGCGGGTGCGGAAGCTGCTCATCCTTGTCGAAAACAACTCCGATATACCGGCGCTTCGGATGCTTCAGCGGGTCGAGGTAGTAGCGCACGTAGCCGGCCTGTGTTGCGTAGATTGTGTGGTCCCGGCCCATCCCGCAGTTTTCACCGGGGAACCATAGCGAGCCACGCTGCCGGAAAATGATGCATCCCGGTACCACGTACTCGCCGCCGGAACGCTTCGCTCCGAGACGCTTACCGGCCGGATCACGTGAGTGCCGATTGGCCGTTCCTTGCGAGGCGTGTGAGGCGTGTCGCACTTGTGTGAATGGGAGGAGTGCGCTAGAGAGGGGGGGTGTTGGTGTGGTTTTCGGGAATGTGGATGTTGCAGAGAGGGTGCGCAGGAGGGATTGTGATTGCGAGAGCGCGGGTGTCGACCGGATTGTCGGGGTGAAGGCTCGCTCCAGTACCCGCAGGGGCGTTAGCACTCGCGGCTTGAACATGGTGAGTTGTAGTTGGAGTGTTTGGAGGTGTAGATCGTGAAGCTCCAAAGGGGAAGTTTTTCGTTCGGAGATCGGGCTTGGCGTCACGTGTGTACCCGTAAGCTGGCTTCATCTAACTATACACCACCTCGAACTCGTTCTACTTTCTATACAAACACCTGACTGTGCAATTACCGCCGGTGTAATTATTTGTATTATGTTGCAGAGCTGGCGCCAAGCCCTCTGGGCTCTTTTCATTCTCGTGTCTGTCGCCCAGGCCCAATTCAACTTCTTCGACCAGATGTTCGGAGGCGGCGAGCAGCAACAACGCCAACAGCAGCGGTCGCAGCAAAGCCCCAGTGACAGCGACCGATACCAGCAGATGTGGAACGGAGGTAAGACTCGTTATTGAGAACATACTGTCGCAAGTTCGCATTGCTGGACCACATAACTGACTATCGCGATCTCTCTCTATAGCACAATGCGACAACTACCTCTGCCCCGGAACTCTTGCTTGTGTACACTTCCCACACCACTGCCCATGCCCTCACCCTGATGTGGAGGAGAAGGTCGAACTTGGAGAAGGAAGTGCTGTTTGTGTGTCGAAGGGAGGGTTCAAGACAGGTGAAGCTGCGCGGAAAATCGAATTGGCGCGCAAGGGTCTTTTGTGAAGACTTTGGGCCTATAATCTTTGTTTTATATAAGAACTGCATGCAGCTGCCAATGGTTTGTGATCAAGTCGTGGAGCTTGGTGCCGCTGGACGGATTAATCCGACAGGATTAATATGAATCTTTTTTGGACATTCCCAGATGTGCTTCAAAATTGGAAAGCTTACTTCGTATATGGAAACAGACGCCTATATGTTCACACAGAACCTAGTAATTCTACCTAAGACGTGCCAACGTAGTCTACTATGTATACATGCATACAAACTGACTGGTGGTGCGATTCCCCACGCCTGGAAAAGCACTCGTCAGTAATACTCATAAGTAGTGGGATATCGAGTAATGAATTGACCTAGCAATTATCTAGATATCTTGAAAATAGAACTCCATGATGCAAGCAAGAGTAAACGATCTAGAAAGCAATTGCCGTCGCTATCTCCGATTATCTCCGCACTGGCCTTCCGTCATCGTTCTCTCAGCCTCTTGGCGGTGGAGTGCTCGGATTACTTACCAACTTCGCATTCCATCAGTCTTTTGCCTGCATCCTTACATCTAAGCTAGTCTGGTCCCTCTCAACTACCATGTGGGGTTTAAGGCTTCGACTCCTGCAAAAGCAGTGGACACCAGCTCGAACTCGAGCTCTTTCGAGCTTCAGAAGTCATGAATCGCGGCGTGGTCCTCGCAATAGCATAAAAAGACCAAATCTCATAGAGACCTCGAGGAAAATCGAAACCTCGCCCAAGCCTGAACCTGCTGCCTCTGCGTCCCAAGATACCACATATCCCAGTTATGACCCTTCGCAAAACACTCTACTTTCTCCCGTTTACGTGCCTGAAGACCCCAGAGGTGTGCTCAAAGAAAACCACCCGGCAATTTCAATACTGGCGAACTCAGGAATAGTCGTACAACGAGAACTAGAGATGATGAATGTTATGATGTGAGTGCTGTGCAAGCCTATTTGAGAGTAACCTGTGTACTGACTTTCTCAGTGGATTTGAACAAGCGAATAAGTATGTCATCATGGATGCGCAGGGAAATCACATTGGATATATGGCAGAACAGGACAAGGGATTGGCGAATACAATGGCACGGCAATGGTTACGCACCCACCGAAGTTTCGTGACGCATGTATTTGATCGACAGGAAAATGAGGTTCTTCGAGTAAGCTCATAGAATAGCCATCTTTTCGTGCGATTTTGGCTTGGCTGACCATCGCAGTTCAATCGCCCATTCTCTTGGATCAACTCCCAAATTCACGTCTATGATCCTCTCGATCAAACGCCAAATGCTCACTCTCACTCGGCATCCACCTCTGTTCAAAGCACAACACCCGGTTCTCTCATTGAACCCGGCACCAGATCGAGTGCAAGGATATCCCCACTTGGTCTCGGTCAAATGCGAGTTATCGGCGAAGCCCAGCAGCAGTGGGCACCTTTGCGGCGAAAATACAATCTCTTCACGCACCAGTCCCCAAACCCAGAAACAGACATGGGAACTCGTGGTTTCTCGCTATCTGACTCTGGTTTATCACGGGCACAGCAGATGCAAGTGGTGCGAACATCAGACGAAGATCAGGGTATATTCAACCAATTTGCCTACGTTGATGAGCCGTTTCTATCATGGGATTTCTCCCTGAAATCAGCAGACGATCAGTTAATTGGATCTGTCAATCGCGATTTCGGAGGCTTTGCTCGCGAAATCTTCACAGACACCGGCGTCTACGCAGTGCGAATGGATTCTGCAGCTCTCGGCACAGAGACATCACGCGGCAACAAACATGTAGGCATGACCCTCGACCAACGTGCTGTTATGTTGGCTACAGCTGTAAGTATTGATTTCGATTACTTCAGCCGCCAACGAGGTGGCCTTGGTGTATTTGACTTTCCGCACGGGTTCCCTATGGGCGGCCAGGCTCCCGCTGGAGGTGCAGCTGCAGAAGGAGCTGCCGCCGGTGAAGCTGGGGCCGTCGGTGGAGCCGCTGCAGGGACTCTTGAGCGAGTTGGAACCGCTGGTGGTGCGCCAAATGGTATGGTTTCAGGTGCTACCACCGCAGGTGCAATGGCTGGGTATGAAGCAATGCAGAGGGCCAACACAACCGATCCACATGCATCAGCATCGGAGCCAGTGCAAGGCTTCCAGGATAGACCTCAAGACCCTTGGGGTGAAGATGGTCCTTGGGGTGACGGAGGTGACATCGGTGATGGGGGTGATGGTGATTATTTTGAGTGGTGATGAGAGCTAGGTTCTGTACTATAACATTCACGATTTAGATGTAATATTTTCTCATGAACCAAAAATGTCGCCGTTCACTTCGGCATTTTTCAATCACAATTTTTTTGATCTCCTCTGCCCTAAATCCAGGTTCCCCGACGACATCGCCACGCTTTGTCCACCGCCCCGGAATTATTCCATCCCCACCCTTTATCTCACCCAAGCCCCCGCAGACAACCCTGCCACCTAAGTATTTCCAGAATCGCATTTCGCTTTTAATCAATTGAACAGCGAAAATGGCGTCCACCGTCGCTCAGAAGCGCCTTTTCCACGAATACAAGAACCTCTCCACCAACCCACCAGAGGGTATCACCGCAGGTCCTGTCTCCGAAGATGACATGTTCTATTGGGAAGCCCTGATCCAAGGCCCAGAGGAAACCCCTTTCGAGGGCGGCGTCTTTGCAGCGGAGCTGAAGTTCCCGAGAGATTACCCCCTGAGCCCGCCGACGATGAAGTTCATCGGAGGTGGCGTGTGGCACCCGAACGGTACGTGACCGAGACAACTCACGAGTGACTTGCGCCTGGCTACTTGCTCGCGTTGCTCAATACACCACGGGAAACATCTTACTTATGCATTTGAATTACAGTATACCCCAACGGAACCGTCTGCATTTCCATCCTTCATCCCCCAGGCGACGACCCAAACCACTACGAACATGCCTCGGAGCGCTGGTCGCCCATCCAGAGTGTGGAGAAGATCCTCATCTCTGTTATGAGTATGCTTGCCGAGCCGAATGACGAGAGCCCCGCCAACGTTGAGGCTGCTAAGATGTGGCGCGAGCGGAGAGCTGAGTACGAGCAGAAGGTCAGGGACGAGGTGAAGAAGGGTCTGGGTCTGTGAGCCACGCTGGGATGTGGCTGAAAGCCTCGGTTCTCTTGCTGCTGCGGCAGGTGGATATCTGTCAATATGGTTTGCCTGTGCTGCGCGGGAGTCAAGATTCGATGACTGGCGTTCGAGGGTTTCTTTTCTTTTTGCATGGTTTGGATATACGATGGCTTCTCGGTCTGTACAGTGCATTCTTATTCTCGCATTATGAGAGCGGATGAGATACATGCTGTTCTTTCGATACACTGTTCTGTTCTCTTTTTGCGACTTGCTAGGTCTTGGGTCTGCATTAGTATTCTCTTGTCTCGTTCTTCTACCAAAGTATTGAAGATCCATGGCAAGTGCTTAAGTGATATCGCTCCTGTCTCTATTTCATGTGGTCTATGCATCTATACCTTCCTAGATATACAGATCCTACGGCGTCTTACTCCTGCCGAAACATCCTCCGATTAATCCACCCTTCCAACCCCCCTTGGCACCCATACAAGATCTCAATCTCCGCCTTCAGATTCAAAACCAGCATGCGCTGCAATTCAGCACGCCATTCAGGCTCCGGTCCATCGCTCGCCCAGACAGGGCTGTTCCGAAGCATAGCCATAATCTTCTTGCGGTCTCGCTTTGTCAACGAAAGAAGAGCCGTGTCACCAAGTACCTCCGGCACTGCTATGATATCTGTTACTCGAAGACCCAGCCATTGCAGCCTCGGTATACTGAGGCGAGCATTTTGGTGTAAGTGTGCCGCCGAGCCGTACTTGTACGTCGACATGATGGCCATACCATGGGGATCACCATCGGTGAGGGCATAGAAACGGGGCGGACGTCTGCTTTGGTTGGATACGGAGTCGGACATTGCGCGCAGGAACGTTCGTGTCATGAAATCGGGGTATCCTTTGCCCTGTTCGAGTACCGTTGAGTTCAGTTACTCATTTGGGGGACAGCATATGCTAAACCAAAGACGCAACTTACCGTGACCATAATCCCTTCCCCGGCTAGTGCTCTGGTTTGGTAGCTTATTCGCGCGAGCCGGTGGAAGACTGCCTGTGAAAGGGACTCAGCGTACTGGTGCTGCATGTGTTGTCTCCATATTTCATACCTCTTTTTCGATGACCAATACCCAGCGAATCCGTGAAATGTCAATCTCGTCTCCGTCCTCCGTGCGAGGAATCAAACTGTCCCCGGTGACAGACTGCGCATCGATCAAAACATGGGAGTCACGGATCAACCGAAATTCTCCCGCCACCAGTCCTTTTGCTGCTGCTTCCTAGAAAGTCGTGCATTTTGTGAGCAGCCCGACTTCGGATTGTTATGATAGCAGAGAATTCGGCAGGACAAACCACATTCAATGCCGTTCTATTCACCCCGATGGTGTACGCTAGGTCATCGACAATGCGGTCCACGATACACTGCATGCGGAAGAACTCCGGGTCGATATAGTATATGTCTCTGGTGATTGCATGGATGTATTTAGCATACCTTCCAGACTGGTTCATGAACATTGCTCACCTCTTGGAGATCAGCTGGCCCGTTCGAATAGCTTGGTCCAATATAGCTAGGATTCGAAGGATGACAGCTATCAAAACACCCAGACTCGGTCAGTTTGTCATCCAGGAGGAACGTCCAGGTGGTGTTCGGACTGTTGACTAGGAGGAAATATCTTACTAAATTTCCACGCCTCGTGTGCCGTTTTTCCAGGCCAAGAGTATTTTCTGTACGTATCAACTCTCGTGCTCGCTTCCAAAGCTCCGTTGGTTGGGTTGATGATGCAAGCAATTGGGCTGGCTCTGCGCTTGAGGGTGATGGAGATGTTTGCCTCTGCCGGGGACCGTGAGAGTTCATTGATGAGGGCTGCGAGGGTATTCTCGATGAATTCTTGGACTGAGGGATCTCGGCCATCGTCTATTTCCAAATTGTGAAAGATTGATGGCTCAGCCATTGCCATTGTGGATTTGGGCAAGGCGAGATGGTTTTGGGAAGGGCAAGCATATCTATCCGTGGACCTGCCCGGGCAGGTGGGCACAATGGGCTTACATGACGGACAGTAGACAACAGTGACTATTACGTATGTAAATATCACAATTCAAAGGTTCGTACTGGTAAAAAATTAAAAGGATAAAAAGATTAAAAAGAAGCACTTGACTTGCTATGACTTGATCTACGCAATTGGTAATTATAGAACAATCTATAGAACATTATCTTCCTCTTCCCAAAATAGAACTCTACACACACAGACAATATCTTCAAATTAGTCAATCTCCTCGGAACTGTGCATACGCACAGCTGTACAATACGATGTACGGGGGTTGCGCTAAGCTTTAAACCCAGCTCAATTCTCGGGACTCACAGTCCAACATTCACTTCCGCCAAGACCGTGAAATTGCCTATTCAGGAAGTATGAATAGCTCTAGGGAGACAGGATCTCCAGGCACCTTGGGACCAAATACAACTATCGGGTGGTGTTTGCTAGCTGGCTTGCTTGCTCGCGACCTTGCCAACAGAGGTTTCTTCCTACAACCCTCTCACCTTCGTGTGTCCTGCAGATCTTGCATCCCTGCATCTTCACCCCTTGAATCAATTTTATCATCTTTTCATCGGTTTTCATCAGCCTCAGCATCCTCAGCTTCTCCACAACCTGGGAGACAGCTTCATTTCTACCAGATTCAGCCTTTTATGGGGAATCTTCATCCCATCAGGATTCTCATCCACTGGTATTCGATTCTCATCCCGGAGATCAACGGCTTCTCCATCCAATCTCTCACCTCTTCATCCTTTTCAATTGTTTGCCTGTCATCACGTGATGTGATATTCTACACCGCCCTGGCGGTCTGATACTGATGACTAAGCTTCCCCTGGGCCCGGCTCCAAGCTGTTTATCGTCTTTGTTACACATGTAGGTTGGCGAAGAAGACCCAATTCCTCATATCATGTCTTCTGCTCCTCATATTGGGCCATGGAGAACTCCAGCTGAGGGTCATCTCACCCCAGATGCCAATGGAGATCTTAAAACTGACTATACGCGCTGGCGATTGGTCGACGAGGAAGGCCGTCAAACATGGCGGTATCTCGAATCTGATGCCGAAAACAAAGAGTGGCCACAATCGGTAGCAGATAAATATCACTTAGGCATGCCAACGGTATCGACCCCTGCCCCATACAATTGACAAAAATCCAAAATTTTCAATCCTAACGGCGCATTATAGGGTCTTCCAGAGCTACCAGAGGCCAAGACGCCATTGAAAGCCGCCGAGAATGGGCTTTCATTTTTCTCGCATCTGCAACTGGAGCCCGGAAACTGGGCCTGCGAGTACGGTGGTCCTATGTTCTTGCTGCCGGGTATTTTGATCACTTACTATGTGACCAATACCCCTATTCCTCCGGAATATGCAACAGAGATCAAGCGTTATCTGTTTGCCCGTCAGCACCCAGAGGACGGTGGATGGGGTCTACACATTGAAGGCCACAGCTCCGTTTTCGGTACGTGTATGAACTATGTGGCACTGCGCTTGATCGGTGTCAGCGAAGAGGACCCGCGCATGATCAAAGCCCGGGGACTTCTGCATAAGTTTGGAGGTGCCATCTACGGTCCTCACTGGGCTAAGTTCTGGCTTAGCATTCTGGGGGTGATGGAGTGGGAGGGTGTCAACCCAGTTCCCCCTGAGATTTGGTTGGTTCACGCGTTGCAACGGGTACGACCTCTCTTTACTAACAGTATACATAGGCTTCTTCCCGACTGGGTTCCCTTCGCTCCTTGGCGGTGGTGGATTCATATGCGCCAAGTGTTCCTCCCAATGTCTTGGTTATGGTCTAAGCAATGGTCTCATCCTCTAGACGAGTTGACAAGACAGCTGCGCGAGGAGCTGTACACCCAGCCATACAGCTCTGTCAATTTTGCTGCGCATCGCAATTCGATTCACGACGCAGACAATTATTATCCCAAGACATGGCTGTTGAATGCAGCCAATGAACTGCTGGTTCGGGTCTGGAACCCTTATCTTCGATTCCCTATTGTCGTCAAGCGAGCTGAGGAATGGACGTGGGAATTGATTCGCATGGAAGATGAAAACACCAAATATGCGGGGCTGGGACCTGTCAACAACCCAATGAATATGGTGGCTTGCTTTATTCACGACGGCCCCGACAGTTACTCTGTCCGCCAACACAGGGAGCGGCTGAATGACTATATGTGGGTAAAGGGCGAGGGCATGCTTGCGAATGGAACCAATGGCGTGCAAGTTTGGGACACGGCGTTCGTGACACAGGCGATCGTCGTTGCTGGTTTCGCTGACGAGCCTAAATGGCGGCCGATGTTGACGAAAGCTCTCGAGTTCCTCGACGACCATCAATTACGAGAGAATGTGCCAGATCAAGAAAAATGCTACCGCCAACACCGTAAGGGTGCTTGGCCGTTCAGCACTAAGGACCAAGGCTACACAGTTAGCGATTGTACCGCCGAGGGTCTCCGGTCAACACTTCAGCTACAGGAGATGCACGGCTTCCCTAGGCTGATCTCCGAACAACGTTTGAAGGACGCAGTCGACTGTCTTTTGCTTATGCAAAACCCAAGCGGCGGCTTCTCCGAGTACGAAATTACCCGCGCTTCACCCAAGGTCGAGTGGCTTAATGCCGCCGAGGTCTTCGGCGGAATCATGATCAGCTACGACCACCCCGAATGCACAACTGCATCTGTTACGGCCCTGTCACTCTTTAGCAAATTCTACCCCAAATATCGCGCCGACGAAATCCGCGCCGCGAAGCAGAAGGCCGTCGGCTATATCAAGCACGTACAGCGCGCGGATGGTAGCTGGTATGGTTCTTGGGGTATCTGCTTTACGTACGCAGCGTTGTTCGCGCTCGAGAGTTTGGCCAGCGTCGGCGAGACATACGAAACGAGCGCCGACTCTCGTCGCGGCTGTGACTTCCTGATCGAGAAGCAGCAGGCCGATGGTGGCTGGGGCGAGTCATATCTTAGTAGCTCGACCCATCAGTATGTTCAGCACGAAAAGTCCCAGGTGTGTCAGACTGCGTGGTCTCTTCTTGCACTTATGGAGGCGGGCTACCCGCACAAAGGACCGTTGGAGAGCGGCATTAGGCTGTTGATGTCTCGCCAGCAGCGGAATGGCGAGTGGCTACAGGAGGCGATTGAGGGTGTATTCAACCAGTCTTGGTGAGACCATCCTAATGCTTCTTTTGATTTCATATACTTACTGACCCTCTTTCTAGCATGATCTCATACCCCAACTACAAGTTCTACTGGCCTATCCGTGCCTTGGGCTTGTATAGTAAGAAGTTCGGAAATGCAGAGCTCGTGTAAACCTCAAGAGATAACAATATCCCACACCTATGAACTTAATCAATAATGAATGGGCCTATTCAGCAGGGTATTGAATTAATGCAGGCATCGTGTAAATCATTCTTCTCCTTTCTCTCTTTTCCCCTCACCTTCCCCTCACAAATACACCACGTGACCATCCAAAATGAGTGATCGACAGGAGCTTGGGCCACTGCGGCTCATTCAACCCTCTTTTGATTGCACATGTTATTCTTCACTTAAACAACTTCTGTTCCCTCATCCTACCACCATGAATGCTGCGGCCCAGGGTGACAGGGCCTCGGCCGAATCCAACTACCCTATCGCTATCGAACACTACACCCGCGCCTTGAGCGAGCTACCCCGCGCTCCGGCATACTACATTTCACGATCGACTGCCTATTCGCGCCTCAAGCCCGCAGATGGCGGACCCAACTACCAGGCTGCACTTAATGATGCCGAAATTGCACTCCAACTCGCCAAGGAGCGGGGAAACCGCGAGCTGATCATCTCCGCTCAGATGCGCCGCGCCGTGTCGCTGTACCAGCTTGAGCGGTATGGAGATGCAGAATTTGTGTTTGGAATCATCGCGGAAAAGACCAAGAGCGAGAAAGAGCCAGAGAATAAGTCGGAGCAGGTGCAGGCTGCTATGGGAGGACCAGGATCCGGGTGGGGTGGCCCCAGAAACAATTACAGCGCCCAAATGCCGATTTGGACCGCCAAACTTCAACGGAAGCTGGCAGAGCTACCTAAGGATGATCCAAAATGCGCGGTGTCTATTGCTGAGTTCCAATCTTCCACCCACGTTCCGACTGCAGACGAGGTGAAGGCTCAGTTGAAGGCTCTCAAGGCTGGCAACAACGTGGGAGTGGCCGGAGCCTCCCAGCAGACTGAACCTCAGCCCTCAGAGGGATCGACCCTATCTCCAGCGGAGGCTCTTTTAGCTTCTCGGGTTCAAAACTCAAACACCAGTGCTACGTCTAGCTCGGTTACCCCGGAGAAGGTTCGCCATGAGTGGTATCAGTCACGGGACTCTGTGGTTGTGACTCTTTATGTCAAGGGGATCCCAAAGGACAGTGTCGCAGTCGATCTGAAAGATGATTCGGTGAGTACTCTCGTGCTCGATCTTATTGAACTAATAACTAATTCTGCAAAAGGTCTCGCTGCAATTTCCCCTCCCATCTGGCTCTGTATACGACTTTACCCTTGACCCACCCTATGCATCTATCAATCCTGCCGAGTCCAAGGTCTCAGTCAAGAGCACAAAGATTGAACTCACTCTGCAAAAGCTGACAGCCGGTCAGAATTGGAGTGCCCTCGAAGGTTCACTCACCGACCCTCCAGCCATACAGAAGGCGCCAGCTACCGCGGGCCCTTCATATCCCACCTCGTCACGACACGGCACCAAGGATTGGGACAAGGTCGCATCCTCGCTCACTGAGAAGAAAGAAAAGGGAAAGTCAGGGGATGATGGATATGTATCGGATGACGAGGGTGGTGATGCTGTTGACGGGTTCTTCAAGAAGCTGTATGCCGGTGCTGACCCAGAGACGCGCCGAGCTATGATCAAAAGCTACACCGAAAGTCAGGGGACAACGCTGAGCACGAACTGGTCTGAGGTTGCGAAGGGGAAGGTGGAAGCTCGCCCTGAATGATTTTCCACTTGCTATTTTCTCTCTTCTCATTGCTAAGCCGCATGTAGCGAGGTGTTAGGTATCGCAACTTTTGGTTGTGAAATATGTCTCAATTCACTGTCTTTTGCCAAACTTCTCATTTGTCTTAGCTCTGAAAAGCCAATAGTTCAATTTGTAGACTCCAATCACTTAGATATAAGATCCCCCTTGCAAACACCGATAGCTATTCAAATCCAGAACCCGATACCCAATCCTGACCCAAGCCTGCTACCATCCCAGGGCTCTCTATAGGCCAGGACGCAGAATCTGCCCATTGTCAGTGACCTCGACAGGAGACCCAGCTCCATCCTGCCGGCGCATAGTAGCCAGGAGAGTGCAACCCGCCAATTCCAGGCGAAACAGAGCACCTGCTTCAGTAGGCGGACGCATGAAGGATTCCCCATCATACTTCTGCTCGAGAATGGGAGCATGTTGGATTCTCCTCCTCATAACGTCCACAATACTCCGCCCCTTTCCTTCGTTTACATGTGCGTACACAATCCACACATTCACCGGCTTGTCGCCGAAGAACGACTTGTCTGCGTTGTAGCGGTCGCACAACTTTTGTGCGGCAGTGACCTCCCTAAACCCATCCGAAGAAATGTTAGAGAGCAAAAAGGCTTCCTCGTTGGCAATTGCCACGACAGAGCATGTGCCGAGTTTATGTGCCTCGACGCCGTCCCAACCGGACCATTTGCCCTTTCTGATGTCCTCAGCAGGCACTATCTGCGGATTATTCACAATGCCGGGCATCGAGTCGGTTGTTTGGGTAAAGTAGTAGATAGTTTGTCTTGGTTGATGAAGTGCTTGTAGATGGTTATTGATAACTTGCTTTTGTACCGTGAGTTGACCTCTGGATGATTCTCCCCATGGTGCGATTGAATGGGAGTATATATACCCATTTCCCGTCTCACTGAAAAAGTCATCTGAAAACTTGGGCTGGAGACAACGCTGCAAAGAGTGAAACCCAACTCAGCAGCAACCTTCCATATAGATGTATTGTTGGCTGGGAAGCTTCTACGGATCTTATAGACCGGATATCGAGATATGGGATCGTCGAGAGAACTAAGATGAAAGTACTTAGGTTTACAAGTCGGCTTAGCCCTGCAAGTAAGTATACTCGAAGCGAAAATGATAGGCTGTGGGCGCTTAGGGCTCGGTCTTAGTCTGACTTCTATTCGTTCTCTGTGAAACTTATATTGGCGCCGGCCCCCCTACACCTCCCTACGGCTTCTTTTTTTCACTGATCCCTGTCCTGCAGGCCATAATTCTGCACTGATATGGTAGCCCTAGTCTGTTATTATCGAGATACCTGCGTCTCGATGGGGATGGTTGGCTCAGCGGTAAAGTTACATCTCTACCTGCTCTGTTGAGCTAATATATCCTCCCTCAAGCGCAAAACGGCGCTACGAGGATGAGACGCTACAAACTATTGGAAATGTTTCAGGTCTAAGGGTTTAGCCATGTCGTTGATGGTTCTTGGCCGTAACGACCCAATCGCGTATATGCGATCCCTGCTTCGTGGATGTATCCTCTGTCTAGCGAGCTCAACCTGCAAATCAATACTGACCGCCAGTTTATCTCTCATACCTGGGGCAAATGCGTGACTTGGTAGGTTCGCATTTGATCAGCTCGGAATTCAAGGAATCCTTGGAGAAATGCAATATCGTTTCATCGAGGCCAATTGACTGACTGTACATTGTTAAAGACTGTAGCAATGCAGTATTATCGACTTCGTCTAGGATTATCAGATCTTACTGGCACCGTTCAAACCCAGTAGCTGCCATATATCCATGTACAAGTGGCGGCGTGTGTCCAGCGTAGCATCGTAAGTCGATCTGACTGGCCTTCCAGCTCTTTCACCCTGTCTCTGTTCGAATTTTTGAGGAAGAGAGATATTTTTTGCCACGGTTCACATTCATACATCAGTTGGATATCATATTAGAACCTCATGGTTAATAGCCAGGTCATCAACAACGCATTGGGGAAATAGTGTGTCATATCTGACGTTTCTGAGAAGGCTGCACTATGAATTCACTTCCCCAATGACTCTAAGACAAGCATGGGACGTGTTGGCAGTTATTCTAAATATGCATCTCATCTATGCTTTCTTTTGATAATGGCTCTGGCCTGTTCTCCCACTGAATGACCACATGCTCATTTCCGTTTAGTTCGCTGAGTCGTCAAGTTTACGTGGTTCGTGTTGGTATATTCACCTGAGTCTCCTCCAATGGCTTTGGTTCTATAATACGTAGTCTGTAGTTTCGACTTGTTCTCTGCTCGAGGAAATTGTTACATTGTAGGTACAAATGATATAGGGGAGATAGACATATGCCGTATTGTTCCAAGCGCTTACTACTACTTACTGCCGTGGAACCTTGGATAGGAGCACTATTAGGCACATGTGCTGGTAATGAAGGCAGCTGGAGTTCTACAATATTTTATTTCAAAATATCGGTATATGTGCTATAAATCAAATATAAATTTTGAATGTCTAGTCTTCCTCCTCCTCATCACCTTTGCCATCACGATACAGGAAGAATTGTGTAAAGATCGCCATATCTAGCAGCAGCGTGCCAGCACTACCGACCAGCCAGGACAAGTTAACCAATATATAGCGGCCATACAGCGCAGCCGCCTCACCAGGACGACAATGCGCACGGTGACGGCCGTGCCCCATGATCTCCTCGGGTGACCCACCATGGCAAATAGGCGAGTATGCCAGAATAGAGAGCACGTAAGTCAAGTTCCCGATGCAAGCAAAGAGGAAGAACAGTAAGGAAACACCATCCGTTGATTTGCGGCGGTAGTTCAAGAGAAGCTGGGGCAGACGTGACCCAAGATACAAAACTGCACAGAAATAGCCGAATACTTGACCCAGAACATCCATGGTGAGAGGCTCTGGGTCTGGCGATGATGACTTTGCTGCCGGGCTGACGAACCAGCCCATCACGCCTGCTGCACAGACAAGAGCGATGGCCGTGGAGTTGAACAGCACGGACTGGAGAGCGGAGATGCGGCGACGGCGGGCGCGTTGAGCACGGAGGCGGGCGGAATCGGATGTGGGTTCGACGAAGGGCGTTGCGGGTGATAGATGGGTGGCATCTACCGATGAGTGGAAGATATCATGGTAAGAGGTTGCCGAGTGCCGTCTTCCAGCGGAGGGTGGGTGCGCCTGTTCCCGGGGTCGCTGTTCAGTTACGTTTACAGCTGGGTCTTGGGTTGGGACCTGGCCGTTGGGCTTCGGGATAAGGGCTGATCTCTCTGTTGGTGCCGACTGATCGGTGCCATTCCGCTCGGCATCGGAAGTACCGTTGGCTGCAAAAAGGTCCGGTGTGGCCGAGGGGGATAGCTCCTCCCTGAGGTTAAACCCCCGGTAGTAAAAGCATTGGCCTAGCAGAACAATATCTGCTAAAGTGTAGTATACGGCAAGGATGATCATGGTAGGGAGCACGCCTTGTAGGACAGCGCCTAAGATGTTGAACACATCTCCAGCCAACCAGATTATGAGAAAGATGAGAGAGAGGCCATCTGCAGAGCCACGTCGGAAGTTCTCGATGATTTGAGGGGAGAAGACGACGACCCAGCAGGCAATAGAAATAGATCTGGATTGGTTAGTATTGGATTAACAAAAACAAAACATGCAGAGATCGTCGGGCCAAGTAGATCCAGATCCGCTGTCACACATGCATGGATTAAATGAACATGACAGCCAACGGAAAACCACTAAAGACGAAAAAAAAAAAAGAAGTTCAGCTTCTCGAACTTACCCGCAGATGCCGCTAAGGGCTTCAATGTTAAAATTAGCCGCCTGCGAAGGGAACATCTTGCAGGCGAACCGTGCGATTCAGAGTTAAGTACTCTCAATAGAGATTTGGAAGCGAAACAATGTAAAAATAGAATACCAATATAAACAGATGGAATCGCTGGAAGATCCAGCTCTGTGCAAGTTGAAAATAAGGAAATAAGGCAATTGGAGGTGCGCGAAGAGAATTGAAAGACGGAGCGATGGATGACGTCGTGTGGTCACGTGCACTAGAAGTATAAGAAGGTAAGAAGTGTACGGCATCAGGTGCTGGTTTCTTTCATTTCCTTCTATTTCCTGCAATATATTGAGCTATAGCTCAAATAAAATGGCACTGTCTTAATCATGGGCTATTGAAATTCAGAGAGCTATGGCTACTGTCCCCTCATAAGCAGCTCCAACTTATCCTGGGCATCACAGAAGATATTTATAGCCTTGGTCTCTGTCAGTGAAGCTCGAAAGCCGATCGATGCGTGCACATACCTCAGTCAGCTTGATCTGGCTATCACCTCCCTGGTCTCGAGCAAATGTGATCTGGTAGCTTCCACGATCATTGATGAAAGAGACACCCCGGGCCGGAATAGGAAGTGTCGGCGCAATATCAAAGAGCGACTTGACATTTCCTGCAAAAGGCTGAGTCAATTGTCTCAACAGGCCGGGTGAAATAGTGAGGTGATCCACCCCAGCAAGGCAGAAGATCTCCTCGACAGAAGTCAAGCTAGCAGGGAGGACTTCGGTGCGCGAATTGATGGACTTGTAGTATTTCTGAATAGCTGCGCAAAGCGGGAGCAATTTCGCATTGTCCACGAAACTAAAGTGACAAAACTGGTTAGTAGGATTTCGAATAAGAGTTTGGTACTTACCCAGCTTGTACGTGCACCTTCAGTTCGTTCACATAAGGTGCGATATAAGTACAGTTGACCTCAGCTGCGAGTACAGCTTGAGCCATGCTGAACAGAGTCGTCGCCAAAGTATGCACCCCAGCTAATTCAAGTGTTCGACAGGCCATCATTCCTTCCCACGTACTCGGAATTTTGATACAAATGCGAGCGATGTTGAAATCAGGCTGGTAATGCTGGAACAATTGCACGATTCCTATAAATGACATGGTCAGCATCAGGTTTGATTAAGCAAGAAATGGGAAGGGTCAAGCATACGGAATGCATTGACGATAATCTTCTCCGTTGAGTACGAATAGTAAGGATTAACCTGTACATGGACACGTCCACTAATGTGTTTTGCCATTTCTAAGGCCAATCTAACCATCTATCAATAAATTGATGTTAGTCGGCTTCTTCCTCAATGCTGTAACGGAAGCATGACTCACTGAAATCTCGACAGCCAACTCGTCCATATCCATGGAGTACTTCATATGCAGCGCCGCCGCATCTGACCGTGCTGACACAAGGATTCCAGATCGCTCTGGCCTAGCGAGCTCGCCGAGTGCAATAGCCTGCGCGGTTAGTTTCACGGCCATATTACGTAGCTTGTTCATGTGCTTACTTGGTTGGAAGTGCAGTCCACGAATGGGCCCAGGGTTTTGGCCACTAAAAAGCAGTTAGCTATCTGAAAATGATAATATAGTGAAGGGCCAGCGGACTCACCTTCGTCGTCCATCGTGTCACAGTCGACTAGCGTGCGCGAACGCATATAGTCGAGACCTGTCTGTACTGCCATCTTGAGGGTATAGTAATTCGAGATAGGTGATCTAGCAAATGAGCAAAGACATTGATGGAGAGAAGAAGAAAACAAAACGGAAATGGGTATCCTTCTCCAACCCCACACTCCACAGGTGGCACGGATTTGTCGGCCCGAGTGACAGTGCGCCATCATATTTCTGAATATGAACTTTGGATCTAACACTTTATATTCTGGTGCAACATGGAGGATTGACGGATGAGATAGAGCTGGACAAGATTATGGTCATGACAGTAAGACTATTCAGCAA